AAGCCCCGTCCTATATATAAATAACTTTCATTGTATTATTACATCGATGACTACAATACAACACTGCTTACAATTATCAATATCGACAGTTTGCACTACGTGTACGTGTACATCAATATAAAGGTACTCTTATTACAACTAATGTACAAATATTATAACAAAATGTCTCATTCTCTACCGTATTGAATGCACCTGTTTTCGTTTCAATCATTTCCAATTGCCTAATGGAGCAGCTGCAGAATTTAAATTTAACTCACCAAAGATATCCAATTTCTGACAACTAAACAAATACTAAGTGGTAGTTATTAGAATTATGTCAAACAATAAGGACTCTCACAAACCATAAAACTGAATGCAATCTCCTTTTCAACTTAAATAAATAAAACCACATTACTTACAAATAACGAATCACAGATACCCTTCGCAAACTGCCACAAACTAACCTCTAGTGACCGCCGGGGCGATTTTTCAAATAATACTTATCGAACCCCAGGGCGTGCTTAAACTAAACGCAGTCTTAAAATCCATACAACGTACTCATGATTACAACCTAAATCTGACAACCTGCTCATATGATATATACGGTACGATGACAACTAACAAACATGCAACAGTTAGGGGAAGCGACTCACGGTATGACGACTAAAACTATTGCATTGTGTCGGTGTAACTTCAAACGTTAGGTTCTCAGCGTCCGAAAGACCATAGGCGGTTAGTTAGCACATTCATCATTGTCTACTCATCTCTTTGCGTGTGCACTATCGGAAACATATCACAGATAGTGTGGCGCCGCGGACGGGCCGGCTGCGGCGACCGGCCGTCACAGGTAGGGCACGCACGCTCCGCAGCGCAAGTGCCGCTCCGGGGACTCGGCGCGCGCCCTGCACACAAGCACGCGTTAACTCACGAGCTCCGCTCCTCGCGCTTCGAGTCTGAGCGTCCGAGCGCCCGCTTCAACTTCTCCACCAACCTGCTGTGGAACTTGTCCTCGCGCACGACGCTCTTGGGGCTAGCCGAACCCTTGCTGGGGCTGTCGCTGGCGGTGCGCAGCGAGGCGCGCGACGGCGGCGCGCGGCAGTAGGACAACGAGCGCATCGCGGGCGCGCTGCGGTGCGGGCTCAGCGTGTGGGCGCGCGGCGACAGCACAGGGCCCTCGGACCGCGACTCCGACACCTTGCGGACGCGGCCGTGGCCGAGCCCCGCCTTCTCCGCTGACTCGGACACCCGCCGACTCCGCTGGGAGTTGTATATGTCCCAGTCGTTCTTGACAACAGGCATCATGAACGCCATCTCGGCGGTGGTGACGGTGATTCTTTTGTTTTAACGTTTTTGGTAAAGTATCGTCTTCGATAGAACGAAAACTTAGTGCGATCGTGGAAAATTGCTCTCCGATCGATAACTATAAACAACTGTTGATATTCACTTAATTTTCAAATTTCACAAAAAATATGCCTTTTCAACGATAAACATAAAATAATCTCAAAATTTTCCAGGAAAAACGATAGTGGATTGCAGGAAATGCCGGCTTTCACTTCAATGTCACGTTCACTGAATTGATTAGGATAGGATGTTAACCTTAGGACGATTTGCAGTAGAATGAAGCATTCGTGAAAACACACCCTGATATAAGGAAAATATTGGCGCCACTGTCGCGGCGGATTATAAACGAAACCAAACTGTTCCACTGATCACTTGATAACTGATAATATAAAGAGATACCAATGATGTACATGTTAGGAATTTTAAATTAATTATAGATTAAAAGTTCTGCATTCTTTTTGAAGAAAATATAAATAATACTAGTCAACAAACATGATTATCAAAAGTTGTTGTAAACAAGTCCAGTTTAGCTACTCGCCAAGAGATGGCGTTAAAGAATAGGTTAATTAAACGACAACAGATGGCGCTCATACTGGTATTTTACAACGCCATCTTTCTTACGAGATGTTTAGCTGAGCCTTGGTTAGAACCTAATTTCTCTTCGGTTTTTTACGCTCGAATTTAAGTCTCTACTACCAATCAGTATAAGAATCAGCTCTAGAAAGCAGTTCTCATTGTTATCTTTAGTATTATAACTCGGATTCAGTATTTTAAATGTATCTAACTAAACCATAGTTATAAAGGTCTTATGTATTAGGTCAAAACTTGAACTCCTACAATAAAGAACTCTATTAGTATAGAAGAATCGTGCTTCGGCACAAATTGGCCGTCCCAGAGTAAATACCGGTGTGATACACGGTCGGCCATAACTATTACTAAACATAATATAAGATAGGTGAGAAAAGATTCAAAATACAAAACCTTGCTCAATGGTTTAAACCAAGAATAAAGTTAAATTGTTTTGTAATAACTGTTACCGTAGTTCCAAATCCTTAATCCTCAAATTCCAAACAACTGCCATCTCTTGTCAGCTAAACTGGTGTTGCAAGTATCGATGGACAACAACGCTTGCTTACTATCAGGTTATACGACTGCTCGTCTGCTGCCCTACCCAAAAGTCTGTAGAAATATAACAGGCTGCTTGCCAGCCACGATTGCCAAAATATACTCAAATAGGAGAAAATCCTAGTGTAGAGCAATTTTATTATATAAAAAAAATACTATCTTTAGAATAGGATTTTCTCTCACAAAAACTTGCGTAGTTGGAAGATTACAGTTCTAGTGAGTCTAGAGAAATATTTAAATAAAACCAAATGGAATTAAAAATAACTATACATATTTATTACAACATAATAGTGACAATATTATTCATAATTATTCAATAATTTACATCATTACTTACACAACATTCATACGTGAACAAATATTAATAGAGAACACTGAACAAAGTCCATAATAATAATTAACTATATCACATGATTAAATAGGTGGGAGGAATTATCATTTGATTATTTTAAACACTTTTGATCGCTTAAATTTTAATGTTAAAATCTTATGGAGCGTCCTCAAACTTTTCGGCATGACTGGTAGGATTTCAACATCTTTTTTGTATAAAACTTATTAGGAATACAGATAGACTTTGGCACAATTAAATTAATTTAAACATTTTCGAGAGCCAGAATTTCAAAATGCGTAGTAAATAAATGTCAGTTAAAAAGTTTGGGACCTCGCGATAGCACATTCACATGTCACTGGCGTGCATTTTCTGCACGCACCAATGTGATGAAATGACTTTTAGAAGCATACATACAGACAGGGATGCCTGTCATGGAATAAATTACCTACGAAAGGACGAAATAAAACCTTTTAATAACCATTTTGGTTAACTTTTGGTTCCCCCAATTAGATGGAAAGATCCTTATACAACTTTTTCTAATCAATCGCGTAAGAAACACCACTTGATACATCCGGGAAGCTCTCTAACGCAAAGAGGTACAAAACGCTTCATTAAAAATGCCTTTAAATATCTAATAGAGAATACTTTTCATGGATTATCACAGCTCGGCGATCAAAAGCAAAATTAATATTACAATAATGTCATGGTTTAAACCCGTTAAAGTTAACAAAACAACACCATGTCTTTATTTAATAAAGCATAACAAATTATTGTGCTTCAATAGTTAAATAATTGTTAAAAATGCAAACTAACATTACTCTATAGTGCAAAATGCAATATTTATGAGATTCCTAGTAACATTCGAATCGTTGTGTAAGTAAAACAATATTGTTTATTACTACTCCAGTGAAATTAGCATTTAACAAAAAATATTTTTTGGGCACTAAAGATAGTATTTTGAAACACATCATTTTATAAGCAACTTTTATGTAAATACTCATCTAGTAGAAAAAAGCCTGTCGACGTAAAAGTCTGGTGGAGATTGAGACTGGCGATCTGTTCTAACCTATTATATCCTTTCAGCCTATCTACTAACATTTTTTTTTATGATTTCTTACAAAACACGCATTACTTGCATCTCAAAAATAAGACATGGAAGAAATATGGGAAGACTTGCATAAAAAACCGCCCAAAAATATGCCATATATCGTTTTGTACTAGATTACAACCATGCAGAACTCGTATAAGTTAAGATTACGCAATGTTACGCAACGTTCGTTTCAGGAGCGTAATTATAATTGTGGCGCCATTCAATATAATACTCGCGTCAATACATCAATCACAATAGATCTCTACTGCGCAGTAATCAACTCACGTGATCAGTAACCAAGAAAACACGATATAATAACATCTATTTTTGAATAGCAAATATCGTGAGACATACTAAATTTATTAAAAATAACGACATGTCATGACGTGATTTCATTGAGAAAAGCTCGACTAGTTTCAAGTCGCAACGGGACTCTTATTCATGAGCAGCGTCCGCGTCGTAGCTTCATCGCGGTTTTTGATGATTCATCAGTTAATTCACTTGAGTAAGTCGTTATTTTTTAATTAACTTACAATATACCTACTTCACTATGTTACCATTCCTTTGACAACTTCATTATAGAACCACCGTTCTGAAAATTCAGTGTAAAACAGAGACATATACTAATTCTAAGTTGAGATTACTTTGAACTTATGTACGTTATAATGTTGATTGCAATTTCCTTTAACAGTGGGAGATTCACTAATATAGGTTTTTAAATTTTTTATATTTATATATAACTAACCACTTATTTCAGATCACGGCGAGAACTCATAAATGGGGTTATTTTCGTCTTTTTGATTTTTACACATACACTTCTTATGCAAAATGTTGGAGATTCACTTAGGGGCTCTAAAAGGGCTTTTAACTTTTAATATTCACTACTGACCACATTCATGGCATTACTATCGTCTTTTTGAATTCTTGCCCACACACTAATGTACTATCTCCCCGGCTGATGTCCCATTTCACTAATATTAAAGTTGTTCAAAGGTCCTCTGCGAGTTGGCTTCGGCCCCTCGTATGAGTCGGGGACCCTGTGGTCCCATGAGTGGAAAGGAATATATCTCCAACATATAGATAAAAATCATCGACATTGGGTTTATAAAGATATAAGTATAAGATATAAATATTACTTATCACATTTTCTCCAAATTTTCACGTTGTCGACTGCACAGTAGTATTATGTTCTTTTGATTTATCAGGATCGTAGTACCCGTTCAAGTTGATCATGGTCAGCAATTCCACCAGATGCCTTTGGTATCCACATTCCATCAGCTTCGCGACTACTTTGTGCAAGTATTTGGCAAGTTTCTCGAACAAATTGAAGAGTTCTTCTAGCTGTGGGAAGTTTGAGTGTGTGAACGGTCCTTCTGGTTCTTTTTGCTGCCATTCGCTATAACGAGAGATAGAACAGAGAATAATACAATTAATAAGTAAATAGAAAATATTACGAAATAAATTGTATAAGAAATTATAATGTTCATTTTAGATGTTTTTTTTTTTATAGTGACAGGACGTTAAACGAGCCGGCGGATTACCTGATGGTAAGCAATCAGTAGATGCACAACGGATGAGTTACGAGTGCGTGGCCGACCTTTTGGGGATTAGGGATTGGAGAATTCCAAATCCTAGTTGATTCGCCATTCCATTCATGGAAAAGAATAGGCCTCCGGTAACCTCACTCACACGGCGAAACACAACGCTTTTGTTATTTGACGCCAATTAAAAGTAGTAAAAAAAAAACAGTTTTAAAACTCACCCAGCCTTCAAAACTCGACTGAATTTTAAAATAACAGTGAAGATGTCATTTAGGAGCTTCATTACAGGCGTCGATCTGTTGTTCAGAAGGCATCGGAATAATACTTTTTTTATATAAACCACGTGACATTCGTACAAGTCATCTAGAGTGCGAGCTTTCTTCAGATCGTTTTCGAATTCTGTCCAAGATGATAGAATGCACGTTGTAACTATGTAGTTGTCTAGAGCTCGGATCAGGGAAGCCATCATATGTCGGTATATCTGCACTGAAATGTACTGGGGTGATCTGAGAAGTTTTCTCGAGTGCTGTCTTGATAGTTTGGCTGATAATTTTAAAGACTGTAAGGTAATGTGGGTAATTAATTAGTATTTAATATTATTATATAAGACCTTATACATAAGTTTAATGGCGAATTTTAGAAAAATAGACAGGTTTAAGATAGAAGAAAAGTTTGCAAAAAAACCTGTAGATATAGGTACATTTTTGTCGTAAAAACGTGGCACAAGACTGAAATTTAGCTCCTGTGTGTCGGGCGAGTTTACGAAATAGAAATTCATATAAACATCGCACCAATACCAAGGACAACAACTTGAGGATCACATAAAGAGACTTAATAATTTCCGGGAGTCGAACCCGAGTCTCGCTGTGGCACAGCCGCCAAGCCTAGGAAAAAAATGTAACATTATTTTTATACAAAATGTTGATAATTTAAGATGGCTATAACGCCAAATTATAACGATAAGATTCTATGAAACATATTATGCAACATAATAACAACATTGAGTACTTGATTTGATTAACATTCTACCTAAATAAAAAACAAATAAATGTACAAAAATAGAAAATTATTTTACTTACTTCAAAATTCTCCCCTAAGACCCAAAATATTCGTCTCATTTTGATCAGAAACTGGAACACTTTGGCGTATCTAAGTAAGGCTTCTTGCGACAATATGATGTTCAGGGGCCAACTGACTATGTAAGTCAGGGACAGACATTGTAATACATCGGGAGAACTGTGCTGGAAGCTTAGAGGGGACTCCGTGATCGTGAACGATAGGTTCTCTGAGAATTTGTGTACATCTGTAAAAGATATTAATTGTTATAAAACCTATTAGTATTATTTATTTAGCCATTTAATAATGGCCAGCATTGATTTTATTTATGGAATGTTAATGTATTCTCCATACTCTTTACTGTACTCCAACACTCTTAGTACATAAATACCGTGGAAACTATACTTTGTGTTATTTTTTTATATTACCTTGAAAGCTGTATACAGTTCTAATAGAATCTATGATTTTATTATCCAACAACAATGTACCTAATTGCATTTTTTTATGTTCTGTTTTTCTGTCACCGTATTACTAACCGTAAATAAATAGCGTAAAGATGCAAGCCAGGGTCAGGTCAGTAGAATTCACCTCCCCCAATGGGACGTGAGGGAATAATAATACTCACAGCAATACGTTAAAGGCTTATTCCAACTTAATTGGAAAAAAATTAAGACTAGTTTGTAATTAGAACTGAATAACTACCAAAATAATCGAATCACCATCTCATAATCGAATAGCCAAAGAAAACTACCAGGATTGTAATTTATTAAATAGCCTAAGCTGTTAATGAAATGGCTCATTTTACCAGGGTATTTGACTCCAACATTTACAACTCTATCTTCCCCTTTAAACAATACAAATTGTAATATTATTTTATGAGATCCTACACAATAGGTATTTTACTCAATACCGCCAATAAGAATTTCTATTAACACATTATGGCTCGAGACATTATGCTTGAATGATGTTTGATACAATTTTATACACCTACCGTGCAGAAATGTAATGCAACAAAGTCTAGTCTAAATAATAAGAACTTCAGTACTTACGTGAAATAGAGGACCCGAGAGCCTTGTCCAGTATACTGTGCAAAGTACCGAAATTCAACAACTCCTGAGGATTCAACGTCTTCACCAATTTCGTAAACAAATTATGACAAATACTTCTAGAAAATTCCCCATCCATTAAAAAGAAAAAGTCCTTCAAACTCCTCAAATGTTCGTACATATCCAAGTTCACTAGGAAGTATGTTAAAATAGAGTTGTTTACAACTTCTAACTGGTATGTTAATGGCAACATTACAGATCTTTGTAAGCAAGCTGTTAGTGTTGCTATATTGTCACAAGTTATCTTCTTTTGTTCCTCTTCATCAGAGACAAAATGTGACGCAAATATATTATTGTAGGGACGTTTCTTCACTTCTTCCATTATTAAAGCTGGATGAGTGTAACAAGAATTTGACATTTCCAGATTCATTTTTGTTGTGAAATGATCTTTTGAAAATGCACTCAATTTCTTTACACCAAAAGGATCAAATTCGTCCAGAGTGTAAGATCCATCTAATATGTTGAAGAACGAATATTTTGGTTCCATATTCTTTAATGGCATATCTGAAGATTTCAATGGAGAACAGTCAGGAGTGTCACCAGTTTGTACGTCACTAGTTACTTCTGATTCAATATTTTCATCGTCGACTATAATTGGGAAATTGAATCCGTCCGAACTTAGAAACTCTTTATTTTGGGGTTTCAAATCTAGATCCTTACTCGCCTCGCTTCTGGGTGTAAATATATCTGATGTCATCACGCTTTCAAGAGGAACATCAGCCGTCGTGGGTGTTTCTAAATCAAGCTGAAAGGCAAAAATTAATTAAAAACAATATAATCAAAACTTATAAGAAAAGCTTTAGTTCTGTAGCAACTCACCCTAGGAAAATATTCCCCCGGCGTAACAGGTCCTGCATTTGGTGTAACACCTAGCTTAAAAGTACTTGACGACGCTTCACCATATGGCTTCAAATTTAATGTGAGCCCCGACCGTTTAGCGTTGTCCCTTTTATGGCCACCAGCACTAGAACTGAGCATGTCGTTATCAGAGTTTAAAATCTTTTTCTTATTGCGAACTGCCTCTTCTTGAGCCTCATTGGCTGGTTCCTTTTTAGCTGCGACTTCTATGGGAAGATTGTATTCCACTCCCAAAACTTTTTGTTTATTGATTAGTGCTTGTTTCTGCGCTTCCGTCTTTGGCTCTGGAACCACGACCTTCTCGATTGGTTTAATCATTTCCAATTCTGCACTCAACACCTTCATCTTATTACGTTTGGCTTCTGCAAAGGGAGTCCATTCTTGCAAATTATTTTCTTCATCTATCGACGCTATGTTTATCAGTGGTGGGTCCTTAACCTGATTATTTTCATTGTCTGTTTGTCCAAATTCATGAGCCATAATCTTTTGTTTATTCATCAACGCTTCCTGTCTACTTTTCTGATATTGTTTGTTATCATATGCATCATCTAGTTTGCTTCCAATTTCGCAGGAAGATTGCGAGTGTAGCGGATGTGCGTTTACTATTGTCTCAATTACTGGTTTAACTATATTGCCTTGAGCATCCAATTCTTTACTATTGTCACAGATCTCATTATTGGTCTTCGATACTCCAAAGAAATTTTTGGCTGCGTTGCAGATTGCGCTGAATACTGCTGAGGATGTTTGTGCTTTGGCCTTGTTATTATCGTACTCGGAAAGCTCAGCTTCTTCTGGATTATCTGGTTCAGTGGTAGTTGACATCACTGATGCTGTCATTTCTCCCTCCATGGGGGCACCTTCAGCATTTGCTTCTACATTATCTTCTTTATTATCTAATTCATCATCTGACCTCAACATGTCGCTTTGTATCGACATTGCCATTACTTCTTCATTTTTCTGATGTTCTAGTTCCAACTTCTCTCTTTTCAAGTTTCTCTCTTCAGTCGAAAGTAATTGAATTCTACTCTGGTCCAACTGTAAACGCTTTATTTTCCATTCTGTGTGTATTTTACTCTTTTCCACCTCCATGTTTAATTTTGAGTAATACTCCATTATTTTGTTCCTAAAATTTTACATTTCATTTTAAAATATATTTAGTATTCATAAATTACGGCTCGGTAGCTAAAATAAAACTAGGACTCGCGCACGAAAACATTCGAACCAAAATGGTCTTTTTATATGGGAGACGCCTTTAAAATATGTTGTTAATAGTACATGTTATTGCTAAAGAAATAATTTGATATGCCAAAACTTCAACTGCCTAGATAATGTAGACAAACAGAGTGATGAACGGACAGCGGAGTCTTAGTAATTGAGTTCTTACACAACAAGCACATTTTTGAAGCAATGTTTGTGTATGTTTCGACAATAGCGCTGACTTTAAAATAACCAATTAATTGGTTACTTAACCCTTAAAGTCAGGAAACACAATGCCAACTAGTTTTATAAATGTGAAATTTTTTTTGAAACTTATTTACCTACGCTTTGTCTGTGTAGGATTAAGACGGCAAGGAAAATGCAGAAAATGCATTTAGTTAGTATTTTCACTATTTAATTAGTAACTATTTAAAAGTAATTATTTAGTTAGTATGAAAACTACATTACGCCATTTTGTTTTTTCTAATTCCATTCTATCCTTTCTTTCTTTTACACTTGTGTTCTCTCTCTCACACAATCCTTCATGCTTACCCTACATCTATATACATAGGAAAGTTTTACTTACCGGGGAAAGTTTTATTTTAGAACTTACAAACTACAACTTACTTTTCATCATCTCTAAGTCGCGAATCGACCTCTTCGCTTGCCTTTTCAGCTGCATGTTCCAATTCATGCCGCTTTCTTTCGCGTTGTTTAGCTTTACTTTTAGCGGCCTTAGCCTCAGCCATAGCCGCTTCAAGGACTCTTAATGAGTGCTGTTTTTCAGCTATTATTAATTGTGCTAGTCTTTTGCGTTCAGCTAAAATATAAAAGCAGAAAATGAAGGTCATACAAGTGTAAAGAAAATTTGTGAACAGGATTCACTCCCAAGTTATTTTGTTTATTCATTCATTCATCATTTAGAAATGCTACAAAAGTCTTTTACTAAGGAATAAATTAAGGGCTGATTTTTCAATGGTTAGATAAAAGTTACCTGAGAGATAATTATGATGCTGTCGCGTCAGAATGTTTGTAAAAGACAGTGACAGCAACAATTTTAGTCCTTAGTTCACATTTATCTGACTATTGAAAAATCTGCCCTAAATCACTTAAAGGAAATTGTGTATTTCTTTAAGTTGATTGATGTGTAATAACAGAATGTAGTCTGTCTACTTTTTTCACCTACCAACAATCTTCTCCATAGTTTCAGCTTGTTTTAAGGACGCCATTTCAGTGAAGGCCTTTCTTTCTGCCTCCCTTTTTAAGAGTATTTGATCAAACGTGACCAATTCTCCGCTGACGAAGAGACACCGCGTCCTATACACGTCGAGGACTTGCTGCTGTCTCTCCAGTTCTTCGAAACTGGCACAACACTTTACTGACGGATGATCTGAAGATATTAGAAGGACTAGAGGATCCTAGGAAAGAAATGTATTATGCTTATTTGGTTATTATCAAGTTCAGTATATAATATTTTAAAATAAGGAGACCAGTAATTCTCTATTCCAATTTTAAAGAACGCAATTTTCCGAGATTTATTGCACAACACACTGATACAGGCAGTGTGTTGTGCAATAACAATTATTAAAGCTCAAGAGCAGACTAATTATTCGTGTTGCTAGAGTTGATCTTGGTTTTAGTTGTTTTTCGTATAGTCAGTTACAAGTTGCCCTTACCAGGGTTGGCAGTTCTAGAAATCTTTATGTCCACGTGCGTTCACGTGCCGGACGGGAAAACTTTCAATATATGTGGTTTACCAGGAAGCTTTGCGCTAATGTATTTTCGTTCTATTGGTACTTAAGCCTCATGTGAACATGATCTAAACAATATTACACAAGGAGTCGTGGGCAGAGCTATCTAGACATACTTTTTGGTTATTCGTTGCAGAAAAAAGCTAGTAATGAAATATACTTACACTAGGATTACACAGTTTCAGCAACCTCAGTGACTTTCCACACAGTAATATAAACTTGGCCAATGGTTTCAAGAACTCTGGTATAGCCACACTTTGTGTTATATGAAATCCTTTGTCCCAATACCTTTTAGAACGATTATTGACGTACTGACCGTCTTTTCTTATGAAAAACTCGTTATATCTATCATCTAATTCACCTTCAAATATAAATCTCTCGATAAATCTGCAACAGAATTTTTATATATATATATATTTTTATTTGGCTTACAATAAACCGTATGGTTAAGGCAAACAGTATAACGAGATGAACTAATAATTACAAACTATAAAGGAGAATGACTTCTTTACTATGTAAGTATAAGCCTAAGACCAAAAAGCAATTTCTGTGTTTGAAGTTACTCGTTACAAAAAGTGTACTTTCTAAAAATACTCAAGTAACATTGTAAAAAAAGGACCATAATATAATTACTTACTTGAAATAAACCTTGCAGATAGAATAGAGTGAGTTGAACATTGTGAACGTTGTCTGTTTGTGTGTAATTAGTGATATTTCGTTAAATAGATACGACATTAGTTCTGCTCCGTGCGATATTGTAGCTTTAGGATCTGAAAACGAAATATTTAGCCATCTTATAATACTTATTTATTAATAATGTAATGGGTTCCGAACCTATTGAGATAACGGATCGAAATCGATTTGTGTAAGTAAAGGGGCTAACTTTTTAATGGTCGGCAAAACCACAGACGAATTACCTGATGGCAAGCAATCGGCGATACCTATGGACACTCGTAATACCAAAGGAATTACTACAAGTGCGTTGCTTGCCTTAGTTGGTTATAAGGGATTCAGGGATAAGGATTGAGGATGTTCACCTCACTCACGCGGCGAAATACAACCAAAGTGTTGCTTCATGCGGTGTTCTGTGAGACCGTGGTTTCACTCCTGTCACGCTACGAGGCCTTCGAGCCGAAGCACGACTCTCCAAAAATGCACAATCACTATTCACCCGTTATATTGATCCGATAACTTCGTGAAACGGTCGAATCCCGCTTACTAACTATTAATTAAATCCATTTTAGTATTTTTGTATACCAACTATCTATGCAGAACTTATACCCGTATGATGCACAGAAGCCGGTCGCCCATCCACAATAGAATTACTACTTTATCAGCTAGCAGCTTCACCGGCAAAGTACCAGGGTACATAGTATCTACCATACTTACAAAATTTCGGGATTTTAACATGAGTAAGATAATATAGGTATGTTTATTTGTACCTATGCAAAACTAGAAGTAAATATAGACCTTACCATTATTAACGACTTTGTATATTGAAGCAATTGTCTTAATCTCATATTTGAGTGGCTCCATGTGATGCAGTATTTGTAGTAATGTCGGCATAGTATTCAAGTCTTCCTCGCTGTTCTTACATGACTCTTTATAGATCTCTGTAGCCTTCAACCGAAAGTCTAATAGATACCTTCGTATTACTTCTCTAGCAGCCTGAAAGTTTAGAAAGACTGTTATTCAATATTGTGGTGGCCCGACGATGTTTTTTATTGTCAATAAAAAAATACAAATAATAAAATTAGATACTAGTTACCCAAAAAAACTTACCTCATAAACCAGTCCATTGCTATGGAAATGATCTTCCAAACTCTCATTGAAGGCGAACTTGTATAACCGTTTGTAATAAGTCCCGACCAATAACAACTCGGCGACATAACCTCTGATATGTTCTTTCGATATGCATTCCAGTATCAGATTCTCTCTCATATAGAAACTATTCGTCTCTTGACTGTATGGGAACGATCTTGTTTCAACACCAACTGCAATGATTTTTTTATTAGTAAGACACTTTTAAATCTTCATGAAATCTTATTTATTACATAGGTACCCCTGAAACACTCTGAAGTATTTACTAACTACACTCGAGAGCTGATAAATTTTCAAGTAACTCCAATAATAGATTCTGGCTTGTTTGCCAGTATCTGCAGCAACCACTCGACCAGATAACAATTTACGTGAGTATATGAAATATATAATACAATAAACACCTGGCGAAACCGCCGAAGACAGTAAGAGAAGGATTTGACTATAACCGTTTTCTGTAAGCAGAAATCCAACTTTCATCCTCAATCTACTCTTTGGACTCTAAAAGACACGGACCTCTGAGTTTCTTTTGGCATTTCTTGATAGGAAATGCCGGCTTCTTCTAGTTTCAATTAAGTTTAATTCAAGTTTAGAAAAAGTGATGTTTTTTGTTTATTTAAAAAAAAACATTGTTTTATTGTTTGTTTCAATCCCTGACCTCAAATTACCAAGAATTGGCAACACATTCATAAGTTCCCAGGAGATGATATGTTTGCTTGTGTGCTGCCCTATACCATATAAAAAATAATTAATAAAACTTGATACTTACTAACTAAATACATGATATGTCTGATAAACTGTTTCTCTGATATAACATTTAGATCTGACAAATGACTGCCATAAGTCTCTCTCCATAACCCAAGTTCTCTTAAAGATGATGCCAGCAGCTGTCTCTCATGAATCAATGGCAATTTAGCTGGAATGTCAAGAACATATTATTACTAGGAGCTAGTAAAAAGTGTATTAAAACAAATTAAGAAAATTCAATAGTTGTATGTCTCGTCCAAAGTCCAAAATTTGTGTAGCATGCACAATAGTAAATATTTACTATTAGCTACACTTGTCTATGTGTTACTGTAATTGTATCAGAGTAACAAACACCCCTCCAGAGATTCGATACAAACTTTAATGGGAGGAAGGTGTGAACTATAACTGATTTAACTTTTACTTACCAACAATCTCCCAGATATTATCTGGTATATCCTTATCAATATGAGTAGCTAATTCCCACACATCAATTGAATCATCAGCTGTCTTAGCTCTGAATACTTCCTTCACATCAGACTTAGTAGTTGGCAATGATATCTGAAAAAATGTATGTGTACATGAAAGAGATAAATGGTAGTGTAGTCTGTAAGTGTGCCCAGAGCATGGCAACAGGCACAGTCTCATGTTACATGGTACTAATAAACAAAAGCATAAATATGGAGAAAAATTAATAGTAGATATTGGAGACTAAATAAAAAAAATTAAATACTTAATATTTTACAACACCAAACTCTACCACAAATAAAAAAAAAACCCTTAAAAATTACTTAGTTTATCATAAGTAAAATAGTTTTTGTTTTAAAAGTGCCTGCTTTTATAATAAAAAAAAACGAAAAGTATGCAATGCATTGCATTGTTCTTTCTTTGCATGACATGGAAACTTACTTTTACATTAACATCATTGGACTGGGAACCAGGTATTTCCAGATCTCTAGGTCCTGTCAACCTTGGGTAGTTCAACATGGTGCTTTCAGGATATGGAGACAAATGGGTTGATGTCAATGATGCCAGTGACATTGGACTTAAAAAGGTTTTTAACTCTTCTTGGCCAGGAACATTTGCATTGTTTGACTTAGGTAAAACTGAGAAATGAAGACAAAAAAATTTTAGATAGTAAAACTATTACCTTAACCTCAGCTGAATTTCGTCTCACAGTTTGTTCTAGACCTTATTTTAATTTAACACTCATACTCCTTAGAGCTATAATTTTTGTGGTACTACACTGGTACCACAAAAATTATCGCCTCACAAACCTATTAAGTCCTCTTTAAAAGATAATAATTTTATTCACTTACATGATCTAGAATCAAAACTCTCCACAGTATATTCAGTGTATGTCTGAGATTTCTGGCTTTCCAAAAACTGCTTATCAGCTAGTTTCTTCAAGGAGAATGGCAACTCAAATACATGTGATGGATAATATGGGTAGGGTTGTGGTGACCCAAATGCCTCCCTCTTTGGTTTAGGCAGCATTTCATAAAAGAGGCCATATGTAAATGGATTCTGGAATGTTAAAGTTTATTTATTTGTAACTGTATTTATAAGTAAAATCAAATAATAATAAATGACTAATATAACTATGTAGATTTGACTGAATTATATCACCATGATAGATGTTAAATCAATAGTTTCTGTTGTCTCCATGGATATTACATGTTTGTGATTGAAACTGTGTTTTAATTAAGTATATTACAACATATTCAAGAAAAATGTGGATTAGTAATCCACACTTAGATTTTGTACCTGGAACATTTCTGCTGATAAATCTTCTTTGACTGCATTACTGAGTCCTATTAGGAACCGCAGTATGTTATAAATAACTTCTTTATTTTCACCAAAATCTGTTTGGCGAATTGTGCTTATTATTTGCTTCAGCTCCACTGCTCTTTTGTACTCGGCGACATTTCGTGCATTTTGTTGAGACATAAAGTAATACGACAACAAGTCCACTATTGGCTCGCCTTTTGGTGACGAAAAATCTCTACTAGATTTCTTTAGTATAATCTCATAAGCATTCGATCGCATCTTAGCCATTAGTCGCTTTTGTGATAATCTATTCTGATTGCAGTATTTAGCAGCCGTTTTGGTACATAATTCGGTTAACAAATCGTAAACACCGGAATCTTCTACTGTTGTTTTAAGATGAGTAGACATGGTTTCGGATTTACTCGAATATTTATTCAGAATATTCAGTCCTGCTCAATGCACTTTTTTAAACAATACACTAAAATCTACATAATATTATTCGCTAGTAACATGGGAAAGTAAATATTATTCAGTTTGCGGATTAATTAAAGCGATGAAGACTGACACATTGACAATTTGTCATTATCAATTATTGTCAAAATATTTTTTTATTGGAGTTTATGGCCTGGATAGAAGTCTTTTAAGCCAAATTATCAAAATAAATACAATAGACTTCACAGAGGTGCCTACCGTTACCGCCAGTTGGTCTTTAATCGTTATCAATAAGATTAGATTTTAATGCAACTCCAACAGTAAAATTATCGTTGATACAATACAAATAATACATCAACAGAGAGCATTATCTTAAATAAAGGTCTATTTAAGACACAAATTCAAAAGACATGTATATAAAAAAATTGGAATTGTCTATAGACTATAATGTTAGAAATACTTTGTCTCTGACTAATTACCCGACTGCCAAAGAAGGAGGGTAATGTTTTTCGAGTGTATGTAAGTATGTATGTATGTCTTTTCCTTTGTGACCTCCTGTAGCCTAAACGGCTTGATGGATTTTGATGTATGAGGTATCGTTAGATTTGTCTTGATTACGGGAGTGTCATAGGATACATTTTATCCTAAAAGTCCCACGGGATAAAGACATAATAATATTTTTTCTAAATTTCCCTTTAAAAAAACAGCTAAAAAGTTATAAATAAAAAAATTATTATTAAAAAAACAAAATACCCGACTGCACACTAAAAAAAGAGTAAAACAATCCCCATAATACAAATTTACTGAATATAATTTATAAATGTTGATGGAAAGCATCGCAGGCGGGGACCACCTTGACCGCCACCAACGAAAATTCTGCTAAATGGTGCACAACAGAAATGACTATAAATAAGCCTCTGTTGGTCCCCGCCTGCGATGCTTTCCATCAACATTTATAAATTATATTCAGTAAATTTGTATTGTGGGGCTTGTTTTACTCTTTTTTTAGTGTGCAGTCGGGTATTTTGTTTTTTTAATAATATTTTTTTTATTTTAATTATCTGTGACTTTAAAACTTGTCTATGGCGGAACGGAATCTAACCTAAAAAAATACTAATGGTTGATAATAAATATTGTTAAATATTAATTATATCACTTCTCATTATTAAACGACGTATACACTTATAAAGCGACATGAATCAAGCAGAAGTATCAAAATTGGTCTCCAAACTTCGCGTGAAAGTATTACCAAGACATCGGAATCTTCCAGGTCCAAAGGGTCCCGAAGGAAGAATAGATAAATTGCGTAAAACAGTAACAGGTCTAATAAAATTTGAAAGAATTGAATTAAACTATAACAGAGCTGATGAAGCTCGCCAATATGCGGAAAGAGTAAGTATCTGTCAAACCATATCCTCAAGATCAAATAACATGAAAAAAGTGAAAAGTGCACATTTATGATAAGTAACCGCTGTTTTTCGTTTCCCAGCTCATATCTGAAGCCATATGCCATGGCGACTGCCACAAACCAACGATGGATACAGCAGACTTTTGGCTCCTTGAAAAAGAACTTGTACATAAACTGTTCAAAGTATTAGTACCAAGATATGAAAACACAAAATTATCTTACACAAGACTCTATAATGCACCAAAACCTCAATATGGTCGTTCAATAGAAAAAGCAGTTTTAGAGTTGCGAGGAAACCCCTATCCCGACCTACTAAATAACAAGTCTAACAATAAACTGTTGATTCAAAATGTTTTACTTGATGCAGCAAAAAATGAATACAGACAAACAAAAATTGCTGAGATGGCTAAAAATATTGGAAAAAAAGAAGGTGTCACACAAAATAGAGACACTAAAACAAATGAGGCCCCTGAAAAACCTAACATCAGCTAAATTATTGTAAATAATAAATTTATGTTAAGGCAATAAATGCAGAAATATAAATAACTAACAAAAGTATTTTAATGTGTAGTGATCATTAGATAAGATATAAGGGGAAGTGAAAAAGATTTGTAGTTATGGTGAACGCTTCTCATTCAGAAGGTTGCAGTTTCAAAACCTGATTAGTACCAATAATTTTATTTTGACTCTAAGTGATTATGTATCTTTTCTAAGTTTATTTATTCACTACCTACTAATATTTTTTTTTTATTTATTTATTTATTTAAGTCGCATCTGAGGCCCATAGAGAATACAATACATAAATATATTATAACATTACATCATAAACTAATACATATGTTACATAAAAAACTTAAAAACTAATGCACACTAAGTGTCGGCGTCGTGTTACGCTGCGTGGTGATGCGTAGCCATCCTCGGAACCTCCGATATACGACACCCTTCGGCCAAAACTCTTCCTTGAAGAATGTCTCGACGTGATGAGTTGGAACTCGCACCATGAACGAATTAAAGTTCGTATTGTGGCGCGACTCCAACTTCGCCACCCTCAAGGTCCAGTTGGTCTTGGATCGGACATACTCCACGATCTGCTCCACTGTCGTGGTGTGATGTAGACGGGACACGTACAACTGCGTCGTTGGTACTGCAGGACGCAGCAGGATGTTTGGTCCAGTTTGTGCAGTTCCGCACTTATTCCTACAAGTTGGCCTCTTTTTTCTCCTTTCTACCTTTATGAAGCCATCCTTGTCTTATGGGAAAGGAAAATAATATTCATTATCGCCAACATTCCTAATTAAAAAAAAAAAATAGGCCAGCTCAATCATAGTTATGCCATGACCTTACACAAAATCAGTGTGAAAAAACCATCCGTTGTGTTTCGCCATTAGGGTTTCAGGAGTACCTCTTTTCCCTCCCTTATCCCAACATCCCCAAACGGCTGGCGACGCACTAGCAACTAGAGATGCCCCGAATATTCGTTCTTATCCGGTATCCGGCCCTTTCTTACTATCCGGCCGGATACCGGATGGTAATGTACTATCAGGCCAGATACCGGAGAGTAAACTTGGTAGATTTGAATAATTGAATCTAAGTAAAAATACGCGAACGTACAAACGAAATTGTTTCGTGCTGACTGACAAGATAAAAGTATCTACTAAGAACTGTGACCACGCGAACGTTCACTACGAAACAAGTCAAAACCGACACGGCGGCGGTGACCGGATCGGGATACCGAACATACGGCTGGTGGTCAGGCCGGACTTCCGGTATCCGATATCTGGCCAAACAACTATTCGTTGCATCTCTACTAGCAGCTGTTCAGGGCTGTTCGATTGTCGCAGTCCTAATTACACAAAATAATAAGGTAAGTATCTCCAATATTCCAACCCAATACTACTTTCAATCACAGTTGTAAAATGTGGTAAATCAGTAAATGGAAATAACATGAGACTTGTATGTTGTATCAGGAGAAAAGAAGATGGTATCAGATCTGGATTTAAAAGCGTAATTTAGCAAAAATTATTTAAAGATGCAACATATAAATAAGCCGCGCATTCATAAACATCAAGCTTTCCATAACTTAAGAGGTTAGGTAGAGCCCAGCAGGTCACGCACGGGCACGGAACCTAGCTTTTTTAATAAATGATTGATGAATGACTGAATAAAATCGCAGGAGGTACATTGCTATGCTAATACTAAAGTTTTAGGTAACTGTTTATTTCTGATAGCGATTTAAGAATGGTAGCAACTCGATCAACACATTTAAATTTTAAGTAGGTACTTATTTCAACTAACTTTGACTTTTCATATCAACAGCCTGGATAAGAAAAGGCGAGTCATTCAGGCCGTTAGTTGAATGGCTAAGTTACCTATGTACTTGTCTACGAGCTGGGACGTATCCATCAATGTCCAATACAGTGTTAATATATTCTTTGCCTATTTGAATATGAGTATAGGTATGAGATTAGTCTTACCAGAATTTCTGAGTTTCCACTACCTATGTACCTACATCTGTAAATTGTAATTTGTAATCAATCAATTTTCGGCGGCAAAACATTCAAAACAATGATAACTGTCGGTCATGAAACGAGTTCTTTGCTGTCATATGTGTCAATGTCATTACAAATGATAACGGACAAAATTCTTATCATAATTTATTATCAAGACAAGAATAACAAGCGTGAAGTAGTCATGATAAGTAAGTAAATGAGTTTTCTCAAGATTATGTTCATAGCTGCGGCACAAGCACAAGTACCTAACTAATCTTTTGCATTTATTGCATTTGAGATTTTCAAAAAAATAGTCGTACTGTCGAAATAAGAAGCAATTGCCGATAATATGTCACAAATTGTAGTAATTGGATCCTGTGGTGTTGATTTTACAACGTACGTACTTAAGATTTGTGGTTGTGTTTCCAAATTAAACTGTTTGAGAGTAATTAAGAAAAGATTAAAAAAAATAAGGTTTGATGCATTATGTAACTCATAATATATCAAAAGGTAATTTAATAATTAGGTTGTATAGTAAATTATACTTAAATTGCTTTTCTTGTGATATTGTGTTTAGGTATGCACCACGATTGCCCAAACCAGGGGAGACACTTATTGGAAACAAATTTACAACAAGTTATGGAGGAAAAGGTGCTAATCAATGTGTTGCAGCTGCAAAGTTGGGAGGAAAAACGTCCATGATATGTAGAGTAAGTTTAATCAGTCACATTGTGTAAAGAAAACGTAATTAATTGATTAATATACATACTATAACAGATACTTTTTTTACTTTTTCTTTCAGCTGGGAAATGATCAGTGGGGTGACAAATACAGGGATAATTTAGAACAAGTTGGAGTAGATACTACTCATGTGAAAATTACTCCAAATGTAACAACAGGTATTGCTCAAATATCTGTTGCGGAAAGTGGAGAAAACCAAATTGTAATTGTACCAGGAGCGAACAGTTATCTCAGTATAGAAGATGTTAAAAATTCTGCTGATCTGATCACTAATGCTGATGTAGTTATTGGCCAGTTGGAAACACCCTTTGAAACTACACTTGAAGCTTTCAAATTGGCCAAAGGAGTAAGTGTAAACTTAATATTGTATTAGTCTTCTTTAATACTCTGCGACATTAAATTTTGTTACTTTTCTAGTTGAAACTTCTGAATGCAGCACCAGCAAGATCAGACATAAAAGAAATATTACCTTATTGTTCAATACTCTGTGTCAATGAACCTGAAGCATCCTTACTAACAAATACTGAATTTGAAATTAAGTAAGTAAATACACAATCATAGTACAAAACTTTGATTAGTACATTATTATAATAGCATTGGAAACATAATGTTTTATTTACAGAAATGCAGTTCCTATCCTGAAACAATTACTTGAAACTGGTTGTGAATCTGTGATCATTACTTTGGGACCTGAGGGGGCTGTTTACATTTCTAAAATTGATCAGCAACCAGTACATGTGTTCTGTGAGCGTGTCAATGCCATTGATACTACGGTATGTTATTAATTCTGTGATATTGTACACTAATGGTTAACATTAGTGCCCCTTAAAAATTATATGTAATGCCACTGTAGTGTATGATCATCATTATGTTTTTTTGTAATTACTCAAAACTGTATTTATATTAATTATTTGCTTTTTTCTTCAGTCTCTTTTACTTTTTAGTGATTGTATTAAAATTTATTTTAAGGGCGCCGGCGATGCATTTGTGGGTGCTTTGGCTACATATTTAGTGACATATAAGGATAAACCTATGCATCAAATCATAGGTGCTGCATGTCAAGTGGCGACAATGTCTGTCACTAAAGAAGGCACTCAAACAAGCTACCCGCGCAAATTCGATGCGTTCAAAAAGGAATATAAATATGTTCTGTTGTAATTTGAAAGTTAATAAAACACTCATGGAAGTCGATATATTATATTAAACTAGTTAATCATAAGCTAAATTCTTATTTTTTTTATAACATGTAAGCAAGCAATTTTACACACTTGGTTTTATTTTATATAAACAAATTAAATAACCATTAATAGAAATTAATCTGTGTATTTATTTGTTAAGTTTTAAACTTGCATAATCCCTAACTAATCTCCTTAAAATGATAATTAGATACATACATGGTTGTGAAAGCTTCAAAAGGAACCCAAGCTAATTATTAACTACATTTAATTTAAAATTCAAAATTGAGTAAACATTTAACACAAAACCTACATAGTCAAAGAAAATTATGAGATCTGGCAACCCCAGCTTATTACCTACTAAATATTAAATGATTACTACATTTACTTTGCGAAAATAATATAGGCAAACTTATTACTACTGAAATGATAGGTACCTTCTTACAAATAAAATAAATGACAATAATATATTACTACAATAAACTGAAAAGTCCAACTACATCTACGGGCTGAAGAGATATTTTACAATTACGAGAAAATATTTAGGTAATAAGGTTAAAAATGTTTACCATCTAAACAAATTCAAATAAATTTAAAACTAATTGTACATATACGATGTTGATACTAAATACAAATAAGTACCAGTACCTAAGTAGTTACCTAACTAGAAATGACACTGGCAATTTCTACCTCATGTCAACAAAAACTATGTATCTTTTAAGGCCTTGAGGTTTTTCCGCTTTTTAAATAATAAGAAAGAAGTACAACAAAAGCGAAGCAGAACCTGCACCAATGCGCGGGTATTAGCGCTTGAGCGTTTTCAAGCGAATACGCATATATTCTATTGGGCCCATGCAAGAACCAGTGTTGTTGCGTGCACCAATCAGTGTTGTTTATGCGAAGACGCGTGAAAACCGACCAACACCCAACTGAATACTGTGGTGTTCATGTTGATTTTGGATAAACAAACACATCGATACGATTCGAATCTGCCCTAGTATAAATTAAATTGGACCTTGGTGTATACTTATTAAGTACCTACCAACAAAATTCGATGTGTGAAACCAAATGCAACTGTTTTAAACAAAGTTAAATGGCAATTGCAAGGTTCCAAATCATTACTTTAAATAATGTCGGTCATTACACGACTGGTATATTGGTCAAATAACTTTAACCTCCAAGGTGTAGCTTCGGTAGGTTCTTGTTTCGGATTCGGCGGGAAAATACGCTCGAGTATCGTCTTTGTAAGAACCTCCCAGAGGATACGGAGGAGCATACCATGGACGGCGAGTACTTAAGGGTAGTTCGCAGCTCGACCAAAACCAGACCCGGGCTTGCGGCGCGTAGCGTTCCGCGCGCGCCTTAAAGAGTCAATAGACCACCACAGACGGGGCCCTATAGGGCTGATGTCAGTCGGGGTTGCGGGGCAAGTTCAATGGGACTCCTCGGCCTCTACCCAGAGCAAGAAAAGGAACGGGGGGATTTTAAGTCAGCAAGAGTCTACCCCCTCCCGCCCACCCTGGGCGATTTAATGATTTTCTCCACAAAAAAATGCAAGTTGTGATAAAAGTGCAAATAGATAGGTAGGTAATAAAAGTATAAATGTCCACAAACCGTGTGATATTTTTACAAAATTAAGTCACAACAACATCTACAAAATAAACTAAGACAACATAAAAAATATATCTGCACGATTAAACATTGTACGTACATCTTAGCGTGTCTATTATGAAGATAGAAAAGAAACGCTTTTCTATTAATACCCTCACAAAAACTTGCAACTCGACATCGCGTTGTTCGTTTATTTTTTAGGTTATGGACACACTGTTGATTAAAACCGTCCCTACTGAATATCATAATAGGTAAAACTAAAAACTAAGGTATTATGTACACTGTGTAATAAGGTTTTAAAGACACGAAATTTCGTCCTTTAAACAACACAAACCACTATCGTCAAATGCGTAAGACCACGACGCAACATCTACGCCTCAACTATTAAAATGAGACTCTAATAAAATATACCTACCAAACTAGAGTCTAAGATAAGGTAACTTTAGAAAGTACTACATAAGTACTTTCTAAAGTTAAATAAAAAACTACAGTGGTAACTGTAATGCTCGCTATAAATCATAACAACACCAACTCTTCAGTAGGTATTAGTTAAAACTGATTAAACACAGAATTTATTTACTTTTTCTGTATCGTGTTAAACCATGCTAATCCAAGAAACGACAGTGGAGTAATATAGTAGTTACACGTTTATAGAAAATATTGACGCAAAATCTAATAATTTCTTTCTATATTTTGGTCGTTTGCAATAGGTAGTCATGAAAATTCTTTTGTGGCAACCCTTTGCATATCTGAACGACAAGGACAAACCTCGTATTAATCCGAATCATGTCATTAAGCCTGGTTACTGCTTTGGAACATGGTAATAATGCTGCCAGTCATTTGGGCACCCTACCGCACAGTTCACAATAGCTATACGGTGTTTTCCGAGGCTCTGTAATGGTTTTGTTCATTTAATATATTTTTGTTTTACTTCCGTTATTTTTTTAGTAATGTTAGATTTTTATTGCAAAAATCTGATATGTAAATATTCAGAGACTGGTATAAAACTTCTTCGACGTTAGTTCTATTTTCATTCATTTATGATAATCAAATGTCATTTATTCATGATAAAGATTTATTTCGAGAATATTATTGCAACATACAATATTTTCAATTAATTTAATACATTTATGTACTTTTACTCGTATTATTATAAGATAGGTACTTTGTTTGTGTTTGTAAGGAAAAACAAATTTGCTACACGATTGGTAGGCACGGTAGTTGCCAGCACAAAATAATAAAGTTTCTACTAATATACTTTTCATTTTCATACATGGAATTGGATAGGTATTTTGTATTTTGGGAAAAGGACTGAAATTGTGGTAACAACTATCAACATAATTATTTAAACTCGTAAATTTGTTTAAGGCTATTATTTTTAGGGTTGTTATATTATGAGGTGTAGAATGTTGTCCTGATTTAATATAATTTGAAATATTTTGAATATAAAAAGTCTCTTGGCTATAAACTATCCACCAACTTGTTTGTGTATTTAATTTAAAAAATCAAGCATTTCAATATATCTTTATCTCTATGGTAAAGAAATTTAGGCAACAATTATATCTAATTATTGTTTGCTGTGTTTTTTTAGGCCCTCTGTGTTTCATTTGTCTGAACCTAATGTTATTTATGACTTACATGAACATTCAGATTCACCAACATAAGTAATGTTAATTTATGTCTAAAGTAACTTAATCTAATAAAATATATTTAAATCAGCAATTTGCAATTATATTTATATCAAGATGATATATAACAAAACACAGGAAATGATAAATTAATTAAAATTATTTCAGTCACTATCTTGTTAAAAACTCATAGAATTATTGCCATGTAAATTGCCAGTGTGGTCAAGCTTTAATTTAAGAGCCTATTTTGTAAGGTACCACTTACCAGATTGTTTCATAACTAATAGCTTGAAAGCATTTTATACCTTCATTTCTGAACCAGACTTAAAGACTGTTAAGCAATTACAATGATCAACATTGTAAAAATAACATAGAACTTAAAATTATACATTCTTTGATGTCATATTATACCTACCTACTTAACTTGTTGTAACACAAAGTTGGACATAAATTTTTAATTATTGTATCCTTGGAACCATGCAAAAAGCTTAACAGTTTTTCAGTCATTTCCTAACTATCTAGGTAGGCACTAATGTTGAAATGATTCAACTATGTTTGGATTTGTCTATGTATAAGAATATATTTACATATAGGTATTTCTATTCCGTTGAATAACTCAATGCAATACATAGGGACTATCTAATTCACTCTCATTTACTATTTGCAAAAGCACTTTCAAGTCTTCTAAACTCGTAATATATTTTGGTGCACCTAAAAATTCAACAGATTTTTCTGAAATTTCAATACAGTATTTTAAATTCTTTGGACATGTCACAGATTTTGAACATACACCCTCTTTAGATTTTTTAAACACAATATGTGTGATTTCATCCTTTAAAGACAAAAAGTTTGTTTCCTTACTTTTTACTTTATCAGTAGACTGATTTTTGTCCTCAATATCATCTGTTACCTTAGTTTCAGTGTCCTTCATTTCTATATCAATGGCTGAGTTAGAATTTAAATTTTCAGTTACTTCAACAGTTGTTTTGTCTTCTGTTACTTCATTTTCTAGATTTGGCTCATCATGTTTGACAGGTAAATGCTCTTCAATACCTTTTTGCAAAGCTTCATCAAGAATGGAGGGACTATGGGGGTTATCAACCTGTTCTGGCATCACAGAGTTATGTAAGGTGCCTTCACTATTTAAGGCTTCTTCATTAGAGGTTAATGTTTCTTGAATAGTGTTTAGTTGGTTAACATCTTCAATCAAATTACCCATACTAGTATTGTCAACATCCATTGGTTTTGGAATAGTTTCACAACTAGCATTGGGTTTACCAAGCAGCATTGCTTCCACATCACTAGACTCTAAATTAGTTTTGAATTCAAGGGTATTACTTTGGTCAGTTGATTTACTTTCACTACTATTGTCATTCAGGATGTCCATTATTGATGGGAAGTCATCTACTTTGCTTTCCGGGACATCTGGTTTTTCCTCCAATTTCACAATTGGTTTCTCATTATACATGAGATCTTCTAGCTCCGCAGCTATCCTATCATATACCTGATCATCTTTTGGTTCATCTTTTTTGGGGAAGGAATCTATACACCATTCTTCAGACGGCAGTATACTATCATCAATATCGGGTAATAAATCTATTAATGAAATTTTAAAGTTAATTTCATTATTATTGTTGTTGTTACACAAGGGATCTTCAAATACAATGCTGTATTGTTTTAGATTATTGTTGCTTTTTTGTTTCTTGTCTTCATAATTAGAATTTTTGTCTTTCAGTACAGGTTTTTTTAACCTGTTGTTTTCTTTTAATATGTTTGTTGCAATTGGTGAAGTAAGTTTACTGTTTTTCGTCTTTTTACTATTCAACACCTCTTTCTCTGGTTGACTGCAGGTTTTCCTATGGACAAGGACCATGCCATTCTCAGTGTTTTTTAATTTGGCGTTTGAGTTTGGCAGTGTCGAGTCAACATTTTGTTTCGTTTTAGGAGTTGTACTGCTTTCATATTGTATTTTTACCTTGGTAAATTTGCCTAGTATCTTGGCAAAGTCCATGCGAGTGACAACAACTGAGCACTCGCGACATTTTCCTTCTTTATATAAGCGTTCCAGGTTTTTAGGTAATTTTAAGGATTTCACTCTCCGGCTTTCACGTACTTTATTTGGAATCATTATTGCAGAGTTATAATATTGTGCACTGTAGCCTTATTTATCCAAAAATGTCCTGTAGCGAAACCTTTATCGAAATTGGATTGGACGTAGTCACATTTCCCGCGCAGAGAATTAAATCACAATTACTGAACTTCTAGTAACACTAACTGTTTTCTTACATTGCATATCATAACCGCTTTTACATTTAATACTTTTTATCAAATTACCAAACTGTATTTGTTTATAAAATCAAAATATCGTAGCAAGCGACACAAACACCACGATCAAACCCAACGCAAAAATGGCGTCGCTTTAGTGATGTGACTCATGTGCTTGTTATAGATATGGTTGTGAAACTCTGCCTTCATTCGATTAGAAGATCAATGTTACTATTATTTTAAACTTCTTTTGACTCTATCTAATGGTGACCTACGGTAGCGAAGATTTTGCCTTCAATAGTTTTCTGTCCAGTACTTAAAGGATTACATAATTTCATGCAAATAAATATGAATTTGATTCTTGTATTTAAATTGTAATGTATTACGGAAAAGCCATGCTCACGATGTTTATCTAAAGGTAAATGGATTTTTATATATCGAATTAAATGCGTTTTTTGTTGCATATTTTAAGTAGATCTTAAGCATAAATGCTTTCTTGATCCTAATTACCTATTAAATATTTGTGATATCTCGACGACCACCTGGAGTAGCATAATAGTGTAAACAAATATGTTCAATGCTTCTCGACTATGACTATGACCCTCATTACTCCACGGCTATGATGGAAATGTAAAAAAATTAAATTTCCTAATAAATTGTACATACCGGAGGCCAATATTCCCCGAATTTCATATCCACCTATCATTAATAATAATATACCACAAGAATGTCCAATATCATCATAACCTCTACGTACCTCATTAAACTATAAAGATACACAATATTTATTTCGAAAAATGGAATACTCTTTATGTATTTTTAACAATAAATTGTGATGATTGGCACCTTTTTATAGGTAAATATACCTAATGCCTTAGGTGTTAGGTGACTGAGTCCTGTGCTCCTTCAGAACTTAACAATATTATTTCGTTTTTGGTTGTGTACATTTTATTGTTATAAATTATATACATATTTCTAAAATCTCTGTGTGTGTGGTGTTCGTATGGCGAGTGTAAAGAATGGTGTATTTTACTTGTTGTAGCTTTCTTTCCGTATTTACACATATGGAGAAATACATAATATTAGCAGTTCCAAGCTGTTTTCGTATACTAAGTATTTATTCTATATCTCTGCTGAACTGAATGTTTCCTCTCCGTTAATTCTTCATAATTTCTTATAGTTAGCAAAAAACTTGATCAATCAGTGTTTAATAAAAGTCCTTTGAATTTAAAACTTTCTGTTTAATTTATTGCATCGATATATTTAAAAGTTTGCATACTATTTTGGGAAATATTTATATTTGTTGTTTCACAGTGAAAGGACAAATATAATATTTCCACTGCTTGCGAATAAGAAAACCGGGAACTACATATTACTATATGCTACTCGTATTTTTTACCCTTCATTTCTGAGATATTCTCAACTGTATTCTAAAATAGTGTAAATTAAAATGCACTTAGATTAAGATTAAATTTTGATTTTTAATGTATTATAACTCTATTGTAGTATCGAACGAATCGACACCGAACATCACTAAAAGCTAGAGCGACGCGTATGTCAACGTCAAAAGAAAAATCAATGATCGAAACAAAATGGCCGTTCGGCGACCAAGGGAACATTAATGTTATTTGACGTACCTACTCATTGTCGATTATTGTACAAGTTATATGTTCCTATGAATAAGTAATTCTATCTAATACATGTGACAGAATTATTTTATTTGACAATATGGCTTGGCCGATGCCTCCTGCAGGTCAATGGGGATCGGGTTTATCCATGACCCCTGAAATAAATATGGCTAATATGGGGTCATATACGGCAGAGCAATGGGCTGTAATGCAGCAACAAAATTGGCAGCAATGGACGCAGTGGCAGCAACAATATGCCCAGTGGCATGGACAGTATGGAGACAAGGTTAGTTATTACTGTACCCACTAGTTTAGCTCAGCAGGGTTGTAAGTTAGGTAGTTTATATCTTACAAGTCATTTTTATTTGTAATTAAATAGTACTTACTTGTTGTATTCTTAGAATACTCTCCTAAATGATAATTTGGTTATTATAGTATGTGGAGCAGATGCAAGCTTTCCAAGCTATGGGGGGAATGCCTCCTCTACCGACGACAAACGTTGCTCCGCCGCCGGCACCGCCGCCACCTGAGCAGCCGCCTCCACCACCTCATGAGAATAACCAACCACTTTTTGGAAACACGTCATCTAAGCCTACACCTGTCCCCCCTCCAGGAGCCAATCAACAAAGAAATAATAATCCTGGTAATAATGTTAATATAAATGTGCATAATCAAGTTGGTAACAATGCCAATTGGGCTCAAGGTACAGAATCAGCTCAAACCGTTCCAACTACTGTCAATGCTGATGCTTTGAAGAAACTTGCTGAAGAAGAGAGACTTTTTGACATTCAGTTTCAAAAATGGGAAGAGGAAATTGAGAAGTGGAAGAAGGATAATGTGAATCACCCTGATAAGCAGGCATATAAAGAATATGAGCAAAAATTTGAATCATGCCGAGCTCAACTCATGGAGCGCCGTTTACAGATGAAACAAAAAAGAGCACGTCTTATGGGGGCTAATCCTCCTATTCAACCAGACCCACCTACACCAAGTACTACAGCTTCTAATATTACACCTACAGTGAATGCTAATTTGAATACTACAAATATTAATGCATTTCCTCCAAAACAAACACAAAGTCATGGAAACAATTTACAGAATTATGGTAACAACAACTTACAGAATTATAGTAGCAATAATATCTCGCATTACAACAATAATTCTCAGAATTATGGCAATAATTCACAAAATTATGCTAGTAATCAACATAATTATAACAAGAATCAACAGAACTATAGCAATAATCAACAGAACTATAGCAACAACCAACAGCATTATGGTGGTCATCAACAAACATATGGCAGTCATCAAATGAACTATCCTAACACTTCACAAAATTATGGAAATAATTCGCAAAATTATGGTAAGAATGCACAGAATTATGGTAATAATTTGCAGAACTATAATGACAGCTCTTCTCAAAACTACTCAGACAAAAATGCTCATTACCAGGATGACCAATTTAAAGGACCTAAAACTGCTAACAGTATGGGTAATAAAAATATTGACCCACAGGACAGATTTGAATCTTATCAGACTATGGGTGACACTGATTATCAAACAAATACTAATTTGTCCACTTCAACTTCTACAGCTCCTATTTCTAGCACTTTTCTGCCTAGTAGTGGAGACAATAAAGGAATTCCTGGTTTAGATTTGGTCCCAGAAACTGACAAATCATATACAACTAATACCAATGATGATGTTATAGATATTTCAAATGATAAATCAAACCAAGGGTCACATATAAAAGCTCCAGATTACACTATAATTTCCAAGGGTATTAATAATATCCTAGGTGATGAAAAAATTATGAATATTCTTTCAATGGTTCGTGGTCAAACTACACAAAGCCCTGGTACTATGGGCACTTCAAATCCTCCCCCTAGCAGCCAGTATAACTCCAATAATCAAAACAGTGGATCCTTTGGTCAAGGCAGAAATCTGAGTTCTCAGATCTACAATAATCAACAATTTGATAATAATAGACAGAATATGTCTTCCAACCGACAAGGTCTGGATCATTCTAACTATCCACCTCCTAACAGAATGCCTGAAGAAATACCCCAGGACCAATATGATTATGATAATGATAGAAATGTACAATATAGTGGGAACAATTTAAGGCCTCCATATCAAAATAATGAACCCCCACGTCATGCACCACCTGTTCGGCCTAACATCCCCGCACCCAGGCCACCATTACGTCCCTTAATGTCAAATATGTCTGACCACCTTATGGGTAATCAAGGCCTGCCTGAGAGAAAGCCATTACTTGAAAATCCTGTTCCCAAGCCACCTGTAAGACCCCAGTGGATAGATGAACCAATGTTTACACCATCTTTGATTGTGGAATATGAGCACAAGCCTCTTCGACTAAAAGGTATGAAATTTTTTTTATGTATATTTTCATTTGGTTTTATGTGTATATATGTCACCGGAAAATAACAAGATCCGTAAGTTTATCAATTTACTAGGAAGTTTATAAACTTTCGTAAGATTCTAAACGGGAGGTAAATTGTAATATTTTACGTCCACATTTTCGTAAATTTAACATTGACCAATCAGAGAGCAGTGTGTTATTTTACGTATTTCAAAGATCGTATATTTAAAAGAGTTTCTGTGATTGGTCGAACCATATAAAATCTTACGAATAGATATTCGTTAGTTTATAAATTTACCGTATGACGTCGGAAATTGATAAATTTACGAAAATGTGGACGTAAAATATTACAATTTATCTCCCGTTTAGAATCTTACGAAAGTTTATAAACTTCCTAGTAAATTGATAAACTTACGGATCTTGTTATTTTCCGGTGACATATATAATAAAGTGTAATTTTAAATCTTGTTTCACATTTTAGCTCGAGATTTTATAGAGCCTGTCCACACATTTGACTACAATCATAAATCAAAAGATGGAGAGGTCAGAAAGAAAGATTTTGAAAAAGAAGTGGATGATTTGTTCCAAAAAAAATCTAAGAGATTAGATGCAGAAAATGATTATGGCAGGGAAAGATATAGCCGTGATCATTATTCCAGAGATTTTGAACGAAGAGCACCTAGATATGAAGTTGATTTACTAGATGAGATTCGTTCTAGAGGTCCGCCTCGAAGTGATTATGATGATAGAAGACGTGATAGATACGATGACAGAAGGAGGGATGATCGCGAGGACGACAGAAGAAGAGATGATCGTGAAGACGACAGAAGAAGAGATGATCGCGATAAGTATCTTCGGCGCGAGGACACTTTCAGAGACAGGGATAGGGAATATAGAGATCGCGATTTTGGCAGAGAAAGCAGAAGAGAAGAAGGTAGATACCGCAGCCGAAGTCGGGATAGGGATTCTCGCAAAAGAGGGCTTAGCAAAGAAAGTGACAGTGGAAAGCACTATTCTAAGAAACCAAAAGATAAAGATGAGCCTCCATTAAGTGCATCTTCATCAAAACATATTGTAATGATTGACGATTTATTAGAATCTCCTGGAAGGTCTATGAGGCCTGATAAAATTGTTGTTATTCTAAGAGGTAAGTTGTGACATGATTGCATGTAAGATTATGTTATATTGGAACAATTGATCCAATGTCAATGCTTTTGCAGGTCCACCTGGAAGTGGCAAATCATACTTGGCTAAATTAATAAGAGACAGAGAAGCAGAATATGGTGGTACAGTCAGAATAATGTCTATTGATGATTATTTTATGCAAGAAGGAGAAGTTGAAGAAAGAGACCCATCCACTGGAAAAACAGTATGTTTACGAATTGCCCTTATGTTTTTCCCAATGTATGTTAAGTAACTAAAAATAAAATCCAACTATTGTTTTTTTTTTCAGGTTAAGAAACCTACCCTAAAATATGAATATGATGCAAGCTATGAAGAATCATATCTAACTTCTTTGAAGAGGGCTTTCAAAAGAACTTTGACAGATGGTTATTTCACGTTTTTAATCTATGATGCAGTTAATGAACAATTAAGTTGTTATGCTGATATATGGAACTATGCAAGACAGAATGGTTTCCAAGTATGTGAAAAAATAATTTAATATAGGGATTTTTAATTAACACTGCATGGTTATATTATTTTTTATTATTTACAGGTATATATTTGTACTATGGAACTTGAACCTCAAGTCTGTTATAAGAGAAATATTCACAATAGGACCCTCGAGGAGATAGAAGCGATTAGTTCTCGATTTTTCCCTACTCCACTCCATCATATACAATTGGATCCTACCACATTACTACAGAGTGCAGCTATAACGGAAGTCCAGATGGAAGATGCAGACGACGTTCAAATTGTTATGGAGGATTCACAAGAAACTGAGGTGAGGCGACGTTAACGAGCTCCAACCAGCCAGTGTTTAATCCTCCTGACGACACTACCTATACTGATTTTGTGTTCTGTGTTATTCTGATGTTTTGTATTTATTTCTTTTTATTAGAATGGGTTATTCTCTCTTATGTTAGGGTAGGATTAATAAGTTTTATTTCAGCATTGTAACTAAACACGTAAGGTGCTGCCCCATGACAGGTCGAAAGCGTTTTTACATCCAAGTGGGAGAAAATGGACGACGCCGCGCAACTAGGTAGGTTATTGGTTGAATATATTATATTGTTATTTTTATTGAAGTATAACATCAACGTAGGTTAGGTAATATGTTACTGATATTTGTCATCTAAGGGAGTACCGGATAAGCTTGTTAAGAAAGTTAATACCCCTATATTAAATGTGTTTGTATATTGTTCCAGCTCGCCTCGACGGCACCAGCAAGCCCCTCCGCCCGTCGCAACTTTCCATGGAAGACTACCTACAACTAGACGACTGGACACCAAACAAAGCACAGCCAGGAAAGAAATCTGTAAGTATGCACAATAATTTCTTATATTTATTTTAATATTGAAACAAAAAACGTATGCTGTTCTTTTCCGAGATTTTCCCGTTAACCACACCAGATAAGCAAAAATGTTTATACTTGGAGTGGACTTTATCTTTCCACGACATTTGAATGTTTTACTATTTATAGCGATATGGTTGTGGAAATGTATTTTGGCGTACTGGGTTCCGTTACCTGTTAACGTGATGATTATCGCGAAATTACCTTACACATTGTTTTAAAGCTGCTCGAATATAAGCGGCCTAAAATTATGACATTGTATTGCGACATACAAATATTTTAAATTATTTGAACTCTGTGCTGTGACCATGTTTTTGTGTTGCCGGATTGCGTTGATTGAATTTCCTTTAAGTTCACTGTTTGGTATATTTTTACCGAGGTGATTCTAATTTATTTGTTAACAATTTTACAACCATATCTCTCTTTATTACTCAAAATTTGGTGCAGTTTTGATGTTATTTTTAAATGGGGCATAAATACATATTCGCCATATTTTTTAAAACGTTTTATTGTTCTCCGTTTTCTTCGATCATATTTATTATTATATTATACTTCGAAAAAAACTTGCTTTTTAAAGCTTAACGCAAATTAAAAGTACGTTGCTTTAGCACATTTACTTATTTTAAAAATATGAGTGTTTTCTTTTAAATTGAAAAGGTGAGTCCTTTTAAAGTGTTTAAACTCACGTGTGACAGAGAAATTTTATCATGTAATAATTAAAACAGGTACGATGGGCGGACATTGAAGAGCGACGAGAGCAAGAGAAGATGCGTGCCATTGGATTTGTTGTAGGACAAACTGACTGGAATCGTATGACGGACCCCACAATGGGTTCGAGTGCACTCACACAAACAAAGTATATAGAACGTGTGAGACGCAATTAGACTTCACATTACAAGGTTTTACAGGTCATTGTTAAAAAGTCCTAATATATTGCAGTTGTTAGAATTATAGAATTTAATATACAGTAAGAAAAATTGGTGTTTCATGTAGCAAGAAAAATAATTTAGTAGATGCTAAACGAAGAAATAATGGTAACAGTATGTAGTTTATTTAATAAAGTTTTCCAATCTACGTTTACTATCGTATAGAATTCAAAACAAATAAGTAATTGTCACAAGCTAAAAAAAAGTTTCTTGTACGTAAATTTATTCCACACTTTAAATGCATATTACATTTTTTTTTCTTGTCGAATTTATACGGCATTAAGCAATTAAATTCTGGTGCGGAATAAACATATGTTCACTCTTGAAGGCCTCTTAGGAAATCTTACCGCACTTTTTCAATACAGCATTATGTTTGCTATATTCAGTTTTCAAACGAGCTGTTCATATAGTTATTATTTTTGTGATGAAAATTCTAAGTGAAAGTTAATGTCCAAGATTGTTTAATTTTTGTCATTGGTTTATTTTATGCAAACGTGATCAAGTATCTATGTTAAATGGAATTAAATCACCACTGAGTGGATTATCTTAATATATTAGGTAAGTAGTTGTAGACAAAAAGCATAAATTTGCTTTTTATTTTGTTAAGAATCTTACAATTAGGAGTTTAAATACATTTGGATTTATTACGCATAATCCTGATTTATTAATTGACAACTAAGAAATATTTTGTTATTTTAGCGTCAATTAATAATTTTTTAAAACAATTTTGAGTAAGATGTACATTTTAAGTAATATAACTTCGTAATAAATTTTAAGTGATAACATTAGATTGCGTATTTTATTTTACCAATATTGGCAACGTTTCGTTTGAGACGTTCCGTTACTCTTCATCCATGGCGCTATAAAAGCCACCATACATCGAGCTACGGTTCGCGTAATTTTTGAACACGTACTTTTGCTTCGTTTCTTCTGGTTTTGGTAACTGTTCGGTTTTAACCTTCAGCAATTGATGTTTGCTTGATGGAGGATCATTATTGTATGGATTTTTCACGTTGTAATTTTCGGCTATTTTATTTTGGTGGATTGCCTCCATTCGGTCATTTATTGAGCTGTCTGGATTAACTTCGGTCATGCCGGTTTTATCAATTTTATTGAAAGTACTCGATTTAGTTATTGCATCTTCTCCTTCTCTGCCGGCGGTCATAATCATAACGGGAGCGGTACTCATTTCTGTCATGTGATCTTTAATACATTGCTGTAAAATGTGTAGGAAAAACAAGAACGCTAATAGCGTCAGTGCAGACATCGACGCACCGCTTTTATGATGACTGCCTCCATAGTTGCTGGAATAAAAAAACATCAATTTTGAAACCATCTCATTATTTGTAAACATAAGTATTATGGTTACTCAAAAATGCGTTTACTCAAAAATACTTATTGTTTTAAGTGCGTTTATGTCGCTCAGTTTTTTATATTTAAGTAAAAAAATCACGGGATCTATTGAACCGAGTTTAATGGAACTGAGTACTCAGTCAGTCAAGGTCTAAAAATTTGATTATTTTCGATTTTAAGTTTGTGTATAAACCTAAAATTGCCCAATGCTATTTAAACTCTTTTCCGAAAATGTACTTAATTTTAAACAAGATAAGATGGATTACGTATTGAGTACAAGTTTCATTAATCAGTTATTACTTGAAAGTTGAGATTTTAAGAATTATACTTTTACTATAGTTGTAATGTCATTATTATGGTTGTCCTTATATCAGTAAGAATCACCGAGCGCCTATTAAGTCCTAAAACCCGAAAAAAAAATTGTGATATCGGCAAAGCTGACAGCGCTCAGTGGAAAGTACTAATACTTTTTTCGATATGCTTGTTCTACCATTTTTCATAACAGCGTGATACAATGACTATGATTTTCTCTTATAGAGGAAATTGTTATTTTGTGCTTTTTTACCAATGTTATTCTGCTCATATTTCTTCCACAGGCATTGGAACATCTTATGTTCAAGCCAGCCTTTTTGAAAATCGACTGATTAACTATGAATCCTGATAGCATGGCGCATGTATAACACTATTTCTGCATTCACTCTTCTTTCGACATCTGGGTCATTATTTTTTTATATTGAATCATTCTTCCCAATTAACAAATGCTACTATTCCTTGTTTGAAGAACCTATTCAACACTTACCATTACTTACTGCTGCATGATTCAGTTAGGTTTCCTTACATCATGGCTACTTAAATTATGGTTTAGAACTGGGCTACATCCACAAGAATAATAATAACAATTAACTAAATAAGTGTTTTAGAAATAGGAACTTTTTAAGGCGATAAACGCACTACAGTGGAAGAGAGCAACTTTACCGCCTTTCCTTTTTTCGTTCATCGTGGGACAACACCACACTTGGTGCGGATTGTACGCGGTTTAACAAAAATTTAATATGATTAATAACTGCCGCCTTCAGCCCTACCGCGGCCAGGGACTCAAATAAGGCCTTAGTCTGTAAGCTATCATAGCTAAACTCTTCCGACGTTTTTAATAAAATCCTACAAATCTTTGATAAATTCATAGATCTATAGAGTTCTATTATGTAAGATAAAACATTTCTACATTTGCCACAACAAAAATTGCTCACTACAACCATTTTGATTTCTGTCTGTTTTGGGATAAAATGTTTAAAGTAACTTACTATTTGGATGTCGCAACAGCCCCATGTGACGGTGCAGAGGGTTCATATGCATAATATACGTGATGATCGTGAACTGGAACCTCCGAATACCTATGGTAATAAAACTTGTCACAAAATCGTTGGGTCTAAGGTTGTTAAAATTGAACGTGACAATTTTGTTTTTATTTTTCCTGACACCAAAATTTTTATAAATAAAAAAGCATCGAATTTAATATTTTAAAACCTTTTGAATATTTAATTATTGTCCTAAAAAATCCAACGCCGAATTTAATATAGAGATTTCATTAACTGTTTATTATTTGTAAATATTATGTTACTTATTACTAATTATTATTTGTTTTTCGTTTCGTTTTGAGGTTTATGTATTGAAAGTACTCACCTATCTGTCAGTTGCTTTGTTCCGATTCCCACTTGGGATAAAAGATTTTCTAACGTCATCTCACTATAACACAATGTCAACGAATGTCAAGGTTTAGTTGACAGTAAGATGTGCAAGCGCCCATGAGTGCATGATGCGCTCTACTTGGTTTGACGTTGTGTTATAGAATGTGAAATTATTATTACGGTACTTTCACAGTGTTGTTTTCTAGAAAAGATAAGTTCCTTTGTCGCGAGATAAGCAACTCAGTGCTCTTTAAGAAAACGGTTAGCAGAAAAGAAAAACTGAAATTAAATATTATTCTTTATTATTTTACAATCACAAACACACAAGGACGTCCTCAATCACTCAGTCGCACAAAATATACAATACTAACTATTAAGTGATATAAATATTTATTTATATCACATATAACTTTTTACATCAGTCGTCAATTATCGAGAAACTGGCGAAATATTTCATCGTTTATACAATAAACAATGTGCCAATTATACAATATTTTACAATACTCATTTTTAAGTTTTCACGAAATGGACCGTATAACAAATGTGGAACAATTTAAACGTTTACTCATTATCTTCTAAAATAAATTAAATAAATAAATAATTTAATAAATTATTTTAACACTAAACTTGACGCTGTTTCAATTAGTGCGATGGGATAAGTTTAGAGCACTAAACTAACATAATTCGTTGCGTCGTCTGTAGTTATAATACTTTAATGCCACCCACCGATATCAAAACAAAATCTCATTTTGACTGCAATTGTATCTGACACTTCTTCATATTGCTGTAAATACGGATTTTAAAAAGTCAGAACCAAGAGGTAAAACTTTGGAAACAATACGTTAACTTATAGATTTGTTATCACTAATTTAGAAGTCGCACTACTACATAATTTGGCGGAGCTTTTTACTGGCTTTAGACTTCATTGCACTGAAGGTACATCTGGCGACAGTCTACACCTGAACGGCCACGACGACCAGCCTCGTAGAAGTCATCGAAAGTGCCTGCAGATTGTCTCTCCAAAACGAAGCTGGCAGCGTATCTGTAAAAAAAGCAAAATTTAATAAGCACCAATAATGTAAATTGTACTTTTGTCAATTTTTAATAGGAGATCCCATAGAATCTCAGATGTATTAGTTCTGTGAATATGGTCGTCGTTATGTTCGTTTTGGTCGCTTAAGATTTTATTATATCCTTTCTACCTCTAAGAGTAATTTAAAGTTTTTTTTCTAATTAAAGGGGCAATATATCTGTATTGTGGAGAAAAACTCCAAGCTCAACATAGATGTCGCTAAAACCCCCTTTGCATTGTTGTCTTTGGCTAACCTATCGTGTGTTATATTTCTATCGTGTGTATATTGTTATTTTGAATGATTTCGTCTGTAAAATGTTGATTTCCATACAGCAACTGAAAGAAGACTAACGACAGAGAAATGCATCAACAGCTCGGAAAATATGAGGACTGACTAATAAATAATTTTGAAACATCTTTTGTTTTGTTTAAAGTTAATGCCAATTCAGAGCCTGGGAAATTTCAAAGAAAGTTGACAATCAACAGTGCTCAACTAGACATAAATGCCGATTATTGCCCTCAGTATTACAGAACGACAGAATGTAAAATTTAAATTAATAAATAAAAGTTGGCGGAGCGGTGTACAAAGAAGGTGAAACAAAATTAAAGCATATGTTATTATGAATTATTCACCGATTAATAGATATTTATTTTAGCCAAAATTATAAGGTATACTGTTCATAGTTCAAAACAGAGTAAATTATTGGTATTGGTTTCAAGTTGCTTAAAAATATTCTGTTTTATAAAATATTTGTTTTCGTAAATTACTTAGAACGGATTTTGGTAGGTTACATCCACAAAATCAACGTTCTTTCACTTGAACCGAAGTTTGTACTCAGAAAATTATATTTAATTAAATGAATCGCATAAATAATAGCTTCGATACACGTATCTATTAAAATAAAATTACAGAATCGCTTAGAATATTCAAAGATTTGATTGAACTTCATATTTTATTACGGAGATTTTTATTAAAATAGGAACACGATAGTATTGTGCAATAAAAATGATTAACTCTTGTCACAAAACTTGATTCGATCGTCGATTTTCCCCTCACAAAAAGGGGTATCATTTCTGAACCTACATCTAGATGGCGCTAGTATGGCGTAAGGTTCTGCTAGTCAAATTACAGTTGTCAAAAATGTAAAGTCCAATGGCTTGACTATCCAATTGCCTATGGGACTAGATACCTGAGCCGTAAAACTAATCACGAACGCGCATTGAACAATTTTGGAGTGATGAAATGATGACCCTCATTATAATGATATCAGATATTAGACATTTAAATATAATAAATTCAAACTTACGTTCCGAATTGACAGAACACGCTCTTGGGACCGATGTCGTCAGAGCACTCAGCGTTGGCATCGCACACGTATTTCTGAAGACACTTGTCGTCATTTGTACCGAACGATCTTACGTATGTCTTGAACATGGCAATACCGGCAAGGGCTGCATCACTAACTGAATCTTTGCGGCCCATTGACCGTGCGGCCAGCGACCTGTGAGAGAATGAAGTCTTCAAGGCATCCAGAAGGTTGACGACGATGTTGATGAACTGCGAAAAGAAAAAATAGTTTAATATAAAACTATTAAATCAGTCTTCAGAATCTGGAATCCAACGTCATGATTGATTCAAGCAACAAATAATTGAAATAGTACTCCTTTCAATTGTAGACACTAAAAATAGATAATTGCGTAATTGGGAGAAGGAAGGATGGGTTGCGTACCTCTCCAGCCTGCTTTGCCATGGAGGCGACCTGGTCGGGATCTTTTGCACCGAGCACCGTCGACAGAACCGCAGCCAATATACCCTGAAGCAAGCGAGAAGCAACACCGTCTCCGTAACCAAATTTTACTATTTACATTCCGAAGAAAGGAAAGACCTCAAGGAAAATTGTAAATGCTTTTTTGATCAAAATGTAATAGGTAGTGAAGTAGTAGATACTAAGTGATTTCTCTGAGGTGATCCCGGACATGAAGGTACTAGTTATTTTGTAGTGAATTAATCAAGGCTGCTAAAAACTACTTGATAAATGATGCCTTCTACTGGTGAGGGTCAATTTATGTGGTGCTTTTTTACATTATTGGAGTGTTTGTAAACTTCTAAATAAATATCATTAAGTATCTACAATAATTATAAAATTATGTTAGTGGATCAGTAGGGATAAATAAATAAAATAATAATGTTTGCATTTGTTTTTATACATTAACTTCAGAGCTGAAGCTATTGCGGTGGATGTGGGTATTTTGATTTTCTCGTTTCGTGATCATTAAATCGATAGGATGTTTTTATATATTCCTCTGGAATGCTAAAATAGTATATGGTGGTACCTGCATGGGTGATGAGCCGTTGTCTACTTTGTCAATACCATCGCTGGAGGCTCCTCCTCCAAGAATTGCAGTTAAGATTTTGAGACCCATTGAGAGTAAGTTGGCCCATGGCGATGGAGACACTGAATCGGTGTCAATGCTGTCGCTCTTGTTTGGTCCTGTGGTTCCAGGATTGAAAATCATTTGCATCAGCATACCTGAAAAAATTAAGATTCATAAATGTTAAAATAATGTTGTCTGTGTTGGTTTTTAACGCCTACTAACAAAAAGTTCAGAAAAATTGATCCATCATTAAAATTTGGCTTACCAAGCATATTTGACCACGAGAAACCTCCATCCGAAATCGAGTTAGTCTGTATTTCATCGATGTCATCCAAAGCAACTTTTTTCAAGGCATTGGATTTCTCTGCGAATTTACGTTCTTGCGCTTGTTCAGGTTGGGGCGCCGGTAAAGAATTGCTGTAATATTGCGGATTGTGTGTCCGAACACTACTTGTGGCCTGGAAAATAATATAATTTTTATTTATTTATCCAAAAATTTACTTTTAAATATCAGCGGTAAGTATCAGCTGTACCTATATGTGTAATCATACCTGAGTTATAAGGGGGACATGTTGGGGGTATGCCAACGTATGAAGAATGGCTGATGAACTTATTAGCGCCAGCAGCGCCCATCCCGTCACTGTTTGATGCATCTGTGGACAAGTAAAATGATTGTAAGTATTTAATAAGTTTTAGGTATTATTTTGGTTTACAAAAGATGAATTACTTCAAAAATAAACACATCCGATAATCAACAGAGAATTTAATTGTGTTCTCGCGTAATAGACGTCGACTAGAAAGTGTTCTGATGAGTGATTCGCGCGAATTGATTGCTTGCTTTTAGACTTGCTTAGAAAGTGGCCCCTAGCGTCGCCTTCTCTGTATTTTTACGAGGATGGCAGAGTCTCTAATTAGAGGACGTTGATAGTGTAGTTTTTTAACGTTCTGTTTACCGATTTACACAGGAAGAATAAATTACAAAATCACCCATAAAACCATACATTCCCTATTTATCTGAATTTTATTAAGTGCTGTTGGATAGTTACGACTGTAATTTAGGTAAACAAACATATACATGTCACTCACCCTACATCGTGTTACAAAAATAGATCCATAAAAAGGTAGACTTGTGTTTTATTTTAAACCGGCACTTAAATGTGTAAGCTGCTTATCCGACAACCCTTGAATTCGGGTGACCCAGTCATTTTTGCACCTAATCGTTTTCCAGATTTAACTTAACCATACTTAACAAGGCTGCTAAAAACTACTTGATAAATGATTTGTAGTCTAATTGACGTAAATTTTGAACACTATTGCAGTGATAAGTCAAATGGTCTACTTTCTTAGACCAGTAAAGTTGCTATTAGCACTTGCTATGACTTCCGGTCCATTTGACTAAAATTATGTAAGGCTAAACGTGAATTGTTTGACGAATGGGTTTATTATTATATTGTTTCTTTGGAAGTACGTCCGTCAATACCTACATATGTATAAATATGTTGGTTGTAACAGCAGTGTGCGGGCGCACCGGTCGCCGGCGACAGCGGGTCCGTCGAGATTCTCTCAGGAGAAATTTGCTGTCGCAAGACTGGCGTCGTCATCACTTATGTTTTATGTATGCTTTGTTGCCGCCATTTACTAGCAAACCACTACATTCATGATGTTATTTATGTAATTGTAGTGTCTAGTAGGAATAGAATAACTACGTTTCTATCTACCGATTTATTTATTCACGGCGAAATAAAATATAGAACGGCGAAAACAAAATCTTTAAGTTCCCAATTAGTGTCGAACCTATTTAGTGGCAAGTTTTAAGGTGACTTGACCCATTAACCCAATAACCCTGGGCAGGTGACTGAACTTGGCGTTGCAACGCACGAGAAACTTAGCCTCACTTTCGATCGTCGCGGATCTTCACGTTTCAACTGACCCAAATTTACATAAATTATAAGAAAACCATTGATTCTTTACACGACAAAATATGTTTGTTTATTAACTATTAAAATGAGCTACCTAATTGCTTATTATGGTTACGTTACTTATACTGACTATACGTATTAGATACTTTTATATCTTTACCGAATTTTGGTCTGTTATACATTATATTATAATTATAGTCATCGTTTCAAAATCACGTTTTTTTATTGGAATACTTAATACGTTATGTTAACGCGGCTTCGCAGTGTATTTTTTGAATGTTTTTTGACGAGGGTTTTATTTATTGATCTTTATCTATCGTATAAAAATACTTCATATTATAAACCAATTATCCGTATATCCATTCCCAAAGCATCAAGTATAATTATATTGTCTAGTAACGCAGAACGACTAGCGCAAGGCGCGGCAAACATGGCGATGGGTGAAAGCAACGCGGTCCGGTCGCGTGTGTGCCACTGCCGTGCAAGGTTAACGTTTTTCTAATTTCGGAGCGAGGAGTCAGACCTGCTATTACGTTGTGACCAACTCGCTCCCAACTTTCATCGGAAATTCACCGTGGAAAAATGAGAATCGTAAATTTCACCACCCATTTGGCAATTTTCCTCTTGTGCGTGCCACCTGCGATGATTTGTGTACCTACTATAAACTGCATTTTATATGCTATGATTGTAATAAGAGTCGGCATCGACTAATACGCGATGGTGAATTCGACGACTGCAACCTTTTGCAGAATTTAAATAAGTTTCTCTAAGAAAGTTTTGTTGTTGGAAAAATATAATCTATCGTTCATCTGAAAACCACTTATTCTTGTTTTCATCAGGCGCTCTTTTTTGGCTTTTTTGCCGGCTCTGTGACCGGTCCAGCGTGCAATCCGCTTTCTAAAACCATCCGTGAGACCGTGCGTGTTTTGAACGCGGATATGAGCGTGAACTGAAACTTATTCAGTCGCATAATAAACATACTTCGTTGTAAACTACGTGACTAACAGTACAAACTACTACTCACTACATAACATTGAGTTACATACGTATTACGGCAAAATAAATTTAGCAGATTTTTTTTTATGTACCTACAATCTACATAATTATTACGTTACCCATCGAACCATTTTGTGTCACCTAGTCTAAGTCCTTGCCTACCTATAAAAATTGTAGGTGAGAAATATAAGACAGACACATTTAGGTACACAAAAGCTAGTGGTTGACCCCACTTCTACTTTTCTACAAGTAATTATAATTTACACTTTAAGTATGAATTTAGACTTATTTTATTTTTGATCTGACATGCTTTATTGAAACAAGAATAAATGAAATTTAGATGATTTAGCAGACTAACTTAGAAACCTATAATGAATGAGTGAGAGACGCATTATCGGTTATTGCAATTGATTATTCTAGCTGTAGCCTGTAATTTTATAGTAGCTAGTGCTACGATGTTCCGCAAAGTGATCCGTAAGCGCGTGACATACACCGTTACCGTGTTCTCGATGCGGATCAATCGTACGGTACACCTGATTCAAGATGCACATGTTCAATTTGGGTCGAGGCCTACTTTAAGCCTTCAATCGTGTCAATCACCGGTTTACATCTCAATTATTATGTTCAACACTGTGCCTGATTTCTAAACACAATGGGAATACATAATTTTGGCCGACTTGTGCATTGTATTATTGTTTTCGTAGATGCATTTCGCGAATTTAGTCTGAACATAAGTCTCATAAGTATGATCTTATCCTACTTCCAACGGCAATAATGGTAAATCAAACACATTTTCTTGTTTCGTTCTGGGCTTTTTTATCTTTTTTTTTACCTAGGTATCTTGACTCGACACCACGAAATCAAAGTCAATTAAAGAAAGAAATTTCTCTGTGTACCGAAGAAGGGTCCGACGCAGCCCGCAGGCAAGGTGTCAGTAGGTATATAATTTTCGTTTTAAAAACATTCCGATTACCCAACGGCGGTGAATGACGAGATTGCCTCTCACGTCCGCCGACACAACTTTCACTTTAAAGTTTTTTGGACATGAGTGGAAGCATTTCGTTAGTTCCGCTGTAAGATGACGACAATGATTTATCTGCGTGCCTATTGCTTATGAAACATTGAATCGTCTTGATGTATTTATGGACCTTACTAAGTGTATATACCTAATGCTCAAGTTTTATCGTTCATTAGTCTAAGCGTCAACAATCCCTTGAAAAATCATCGTTTTTGATCAGATATTGATCTGCAATTAATACGGACCTTTTCTATAAGATTCGTATTTTAATAAAATTTATGTCGGCCCTCACTTAATGCTTTATTTTAGATTGTTCATCGATAACAATTATTTGGAAAAAGTTATTCCGGTTATGTCATAACGTTTCTTAATTTCTGGGAATACGTTATTACAGTCGAGTACCTATATGTTTGAGCGAGAAATGCGGCGACGGGACTGGTAGTCGGCACGCAAGCGGATTATTGGCCATTCCGATCGCAGCAGCTTTCCTCGCCACTTTCAACACGCGCCGGCGCACGTTTCAAGACTTTTAATTACTTAAGAACCTGTCACAAGTATCATAACACTCGTCAAGCGTCAAGATCTCATCTTTTGTTTACAAACTTACTTATATGAAAGTTTGAGGATATTCTGCACCAAGTTTCGCGCTAAAATAGCAATTACTTCAATGATTTGTATTATTTCTTTAGATATGTATATACTACTAAAACAAAACTATAAAAAGAAATCGCCTTGCTTATTGTAAATGAACTTGAATATTAAAGCGTCATAAATTGATTTATTCGCTCTATTTGATGAATAGAGCAATTAGCCGAGCTACCGGATGAGACTAAACAATTCATTATCATTTGTAACGCGAATATCTATCGTAAATCCTCATGTTGTGAGCAAAAAAGTTCCGTTAGAAGCGTTGGAAAATCTCTTTTGTATAATATTTTCAATGCACCTAGCACCATTGTTACGTCAAATTAGCTGCTCAAGAGTGTTTTGTTTGTATTCTTTTGATGCTGCGCGACGAATTCAGGGTTAGAACGCATTATGTGAACATTTTCACATTTTAGAAAGCGAAGGTTCATATTTACATGACTAAAGCGTACAGTGAAAATAATATGTCGTGTGGAAGCTTCATAATAAGTGTGAAGTGTTCGTGACTGATTGGTTTCGTTGTTCCGTCTTTTGTGCAAGTGATTGGTATTTGAATTTGATTTTGTTTGTGATTCTTTTGTTTTTATGGCAAACGATTTGTGCTTTATCTTTAGTCCTCTTGCATACTGATTGGTGATAAAAATTTGAATTAATTAACTCTTTCTTGATAATTATGGATTTTTAGAAAAATTTTGTTGTGTGCCATTTAAAAATGTCTTGTTCAGTTTTGTAATTAGGCATTTAGGCATACTTCTACTGTTGAATCTGATTATAAATGTTTTTAAGAACTACTATCAACTATGAATATGCTTGATACTATCTAAATAACAAAATCGATCTAAATATTTTCATATAAATTAGATTTAATATCCTTTTTACTCTAATAATAAATATCAATTGAAACAAAAGCTGCGTTAATTAGAAGTTTGTTATTCCACAAGATTCACGCGAATACAAATTTGTTTGCTTATTGAAATTTATAATAATTTAAACGATTTTATTAAAAAAAATTTAATAGCTTAGTCAAGCTTAATATTAAAAATAATACAAATTACAAAGCAATAATTCATTACATCGTACATAGTTAATCGATACATATATTTTTTATTAACTTCGAACATTGTATAAGGACTAAACGAGAGAAGCAAAATTATTTTCATAAGATACAATAAACAAACAATTTGTATCACTAAATTCACTTGTGAAACACCTTATCTATCAAATCACGTGGTCACTTGCAATCATCAGCGTCCTGTTCAACTTTCACACAATTATATCAAACACGAACACTTAAATAGATTCCACTACAAGTCCTAAGGGATGAGTCTTTAAAAACCTTACCTTATCTCGAACTTGGGGGTAAATCACTAACACTGAATCACGTTATCTTCCACAAGGTAGCTATATCGTCACCGGTGAAAGTGCGTGTTGCCTGTGCGAGAGTTTAACTTGCAATGAGTGTTGCGCCTTGAACTTCACTATATATATATGATGACCCAGTTATGGTGGCAGCGGCTAACTGTGCTAGTCGGTCCGTCTGTCCGTGTGTCCAACCTGTTCCCATCCCGTTGGACGCCTGTTCCCGAATGGACCTTGTCAAGGACATTCGGTTACCGAACTAACGAAAACGTCCTGCGTTCGGATTGTTGAGATTCCTTAACCAATTTTACATATGTCTTCATTTGAATGAATTCAAATTTTATTACATGTCCTCCTACTTTTATTTCTATGTTACTTAAGGAATTTGAAAATAACGACTTGTTATTTTTGTTTCAGGTAATTCTTTCGGTAAAGATGGAACATCTGGCCAGGTAAATGAAACAGATAAGGTTAAGTGGTAATCTTTGCTTTACACGGGAAACAGGTAAAATAACTTAATTATTAAAATGAGACAGGTATACTCTGTTGTTATCGTTAAAAAGTTTAAATAGATTTAGTATTTGAAAAGATTCAAGACTAGTGATAATTATCAAGTAGAATTAAATACATAAAAAGGTCATATCATTTTGTTGAATTACTTTGGCGATTATTCGACCAAAAATATTTTCCAATCGCTATCATTTGGGCCTTGTTTGTACTTTCTTAAGCAGTGCTTTTAATTAGTTAATGGTAAATGGCTAAATGGTAAAATAAAACCTCATTATTTAAAGGTAAGAAACCAGTAAACCACCGTCCTAAAACTGCTTAAACTTGCTCCAAACTAGGTTATACACGTGGGCTAAGTAGGTACATTCTAAAAGTAAGTTGTGTATGAAATTAATTCATTTCCAATGTGCGTGACACGATGTTCCAAAGAAACTAATCTTAGACTGGAAATAAGAATCGGCATCAGATTATTTTGTGCGAATTTGTTACTGAACAAAACTAGAACACGCATTATAGATACAAATCTACTCGTTTTAAGTTAAGTTTAAGATATTAAATAAAAGTAATTACATTATTAGTACCAAATAATGATGATTGCTTGTCCACGTTTTGATTTAGACGACAAATAAGGTATAATTATAACACTTTTGTCAGAAGTTACATCTAGTAAAATTTGCGTTAACGTATTTGAGATTTGATTCCTTGGAACGCTACCTTTGATATTAAATGTTAGTTTTAGTTACGTATTAAGCCATGCTTCACGTTAGACTTCCATAAACTGATCTTGACTCATCTTCCTGTTTCAAATAATTAGTGTATTTTAAGTATAATCATAGAAGAGCTGTGATAGTATAGTTTGTAATTGACCGACTGAATTTTCGGTACATTTACATACATCTAATATACAGTGTGTTTGGCAGAACGTTGACCATACGAAAATGGTGGATAGGTGGGGTCATCTGCTACTTACTCAGCCCTAATTTATTTGGCCTTGGCCCACTGGATATTTTTAAATATTTTTTTTTCTTTCCTGTTGTAAATTGCCTGTCTTACCCACTTTAAAGTTAAGAAAGTGGTGAAACAACAAGAAAGAAAAAAATAATATTTAAAAATATCCAGTGGTCAGGGCCAAATAAATTAGGGCTGAGTAAGTAGCAGATGACCCCACCTATCCACCATTTTCGTATGGTCAACGTTCTGCCAAACACCCTGTATATCTACTTTATGTTTAATTACTGGAAGAAAAATGTCGCACGTTCTGTGAAAATGTACAGAAATATCAACGGGAAGTTTCGGTTTAATGTCTAATATTTCTCATCCATTAGTTTTATCATTATCACTTACTTTTTCCCAGTAAACTTGATGTGTCTCGTGGAAACTGAAGCGAGTAACGCCTCGATCCAATGGGCTAGATTCTTTAGCTTCTCACGCTTGTCTTAAGTACTTAATCACACTGCCATCATTTAATTGCCTAGGCCTCTAGTCTGTTATATCCAATTTAATTTGCTTTCAATGCATGGCTTGTCTCGCTCACTTTACTAGGTACATAGAGCATAAACAAAGAGTGTCATGTGTCTTTTAGTTCAATTGAAAAAAAGTATTTCAGTAGTTCTAAGTACATTCTCAATTGCTGCACAAAGTTTTCTTGTTTCAATCTCTTACATCCGATTTGAGTTTCGGCCCCTACCTGCTAGAGTCTCAAGTAGTCTTAAACAATCATAATTTATAATAGCGTGACTGATTTTCATAGTTGACTGAAAATTATTAATAATATTCTGAACTTAGTTTATGTTATTCGAAAGACTGTTTTTACAAAACTGTGCCATATTGCCATGCATAGGTCCTGTAACTGTTGGTTAGCTGATATGTGTCAATTGTATCATGTATTAATATTATATATTTTCCAGGTAATCGTACGTGGATCGCGTATATTTTTGCTGAAAATATTTTGTAAGTAATTACTTTGCTTGACGCTTTTCTCGTTAGTGCCGCTCGTATATTCTGCTAAAGGTAACTTCAAGTACAAACTTTTTGGTTTCTTTCTAGAAAATATTTGTTTAATTATCTTAAAGTTTAAACACGTAGTTTTGCCCATAACATCCGTTCGCTACGGTGCATTTGATCTGAATCTATGGCGGTCCGTTTGTGGGGTAGTGGGACAGCTTGCTTGTGTGTTGCTGTTTATTTTTACTCTGAGCAATAAATGATTCTTTCATATATCGTGTTTTAATTACTTCCCAACTTCCTATTTCTCTTTTTGTTCATTCAAATTGAAATAAGTAAATGTAGACCGTAGGGCCGTTATGATGGGTTGCTAATAAAGATCTTACTACTAATTATAAAAGTAGGTAAGTATGTGTGAATAAATTATCAAGGTATACGTTGATGAAGTTTATGTGTTACGAAGGGCCTTGAAATGAAGATAAGACTGACCCACATGTCAATAGACCAAATTTTAAAAGAATTAAGTTTGTCAGACAAGTACAAATAACAAGTATCGATGTTAGCCTTAGCATGTTTACCTTAAGCAGTGAATATTATGCACTGCTTACCTATGTTGACTATTGTTACTGTAGTCGGTATCTACGTAACTAGAGTAGGCTACCATAAGATTTTGAATATTTAATGAAGATGGTGTTTTCTTAATTAACGAATCAGAAGAAAGAAAGTTGCATCGCATGAAAAAACAAAAACACTTTCGCTAGCTTCCTTACAAATAGAGGGCACAGAGATTTCGAAGTTAATAAAATAAGATCAAGACGATGCTTAAAACAGAAAGAGATTTTTATAACGAAAGGCGAAATACGAGGAAAATATCAAGAATTACTTTCATTAGGTTCCTCGAAGTTACTTAATGTAGGGGATCGATGAATCGTTTATATGAACGGAGGACATCGTCAGAGCAGTGACCCACCGCTGACTCATTTGATTGCATTTCACTTTCTTATTCGGAAAACCCCACTTAGGTCCACGAACATTCTACTCTACTAAATCCTTCTCGACTACAGACTGTACCAAGTCTCCATACTATATTCGAGTTTAATCCTCAATTGAGAATTAAAATAATAATTTAATCTCACGACTTAATCGTGGAGAGACTTTCTCGATGCATAGAAAGTGACCTCGGAGTAAGTAGAGGGTTAAATATGAAATGTAAACTCAGTACAATTTGTATAAATATGATAACTATCCGTAGAATACTTTTAGGATTTTGTTTTTGTATATTTAAGATATTATCGGTTCAGTCTGTCTGTACCGATTACAAGATTCGATAAAAACCAGTTGATAGAAGTTGAGTGTTACCAATGCAATTATCGATATTACATCGGTATCCTAGTAGCTTTCCTTTGATTGTAGGTTGTCCTTTTTGATATAAACTATGAAGGGCTACGCAGATCGTTTTAAATGTCATATGGTGTAAATTACAGTCAAAGTTCTAATTGAGTTAGCCTGGCCTCAATATTGTAACTACTATAGGTACAGTTACAAATAGGACAGAAAAGTATATAATAAGTACCTACGCAAACGTGGACGGCACTGAAGTGTTAGTAGATAGCTGCGTGTCCGGTAATATTTGTCAATTTGCATGTAGCTGCGACCATTCGAGGGTAACTGTAAAGTTGGAATGTGAGCTCGACTGGCCAGCCTACTTCTCTCCTCCACTGATCTAAATAAGAAGAGCAGCTTCGATAATTATCGAACTTGTATGAATCTTGTTAATGTTGTACTGACTGCAATTGGTTTTGGGTCGATAACACTACGTGGAGTCCGATCTCATGCCACTACAAGCCTAAGTTTTATAAGCTGCTTCTAATAACCCACACTTGTTTGTACAATGGTGTCTTATCAATGCATCTGAGCAAACAATTAGCTACATAGCGCTCGAGTGTTATCTACAAACAATAGACATTACATATGTAAATAAGACTAAGGTACATAGATCAGGTTCTTAGCAAAACAAAGCTCAATTTTCGTTAGTCTAAGAGTATTTTTTTGTTTTATGAGGATGTGTTGAATTTGTCCTCAAACATGAGTTATCACATTTAGTGTCTATTCACCGTAGACGGAACTTGAGAACTAGGACAGCATCATCTCGTCCCCATAGTGGTTTAATATGAACCGCAGAGGGCGGGCCCGGTACTAGATTCAACTCATCGCTGAGGTATGGGGTCAAATGCGCTTGTAAAAGTTGTTATTTTGGTAACATTGTTACATCCGTTCGCGGAAATATTATTTGTTTGAATATTTATCAATATCATTCTTACTTGTGAAACATGTATTACCTAGGTCGCGCCTCTGAGGGATTAAGTCCTAAAAATGCTAAAAGGTACCATTACTTTCCAATCGGACGGTAAGGCGTGATGATAGTCCTAAATATAAAAAAGACATGCTCTGAAGTTATGTAAGGATTAGTGTTACCAGTACAGATTCAATTTGAAAATACATCTAAATATAGTTTTGTAAATCCCAGGTATTAAGTGAGTGGTAGATAGGTGCTGTCTTCAGCTGTATAAGATGTAATGGAACTATCCGGCCATAAATGGTCGTGGCGTGAATAGAAACAATTGAGTATCGCATACCAA